ACTATGCGTACCTCTATAATATGGATTCACGACTGTGAGGATAGCCTCGAATCTGACCGGCTCCGACGACTTTACGAGCTAGGCCGTCTAAGTGATTCTGAAAATGTTATATTGCATGTAAATATGCACGTGAGTATGACGTGGCTTCCAGGCATAGATCGGTAAGGCGAGCAGGGATGAGGCGAACAAATAGAGTCGGAGATCGAATCGGCTGCGACGATGCGTCGTCCGTATCGTTAAGGTTTCGTGTCGCGTGTTTCCTTGCTTGCTTGTAGTTGATCATATAATAGTATCTATTCCTCATCAGTGTTCCGTGTAAGGGGATCCTCAGGCGAGGCAGGCGTGGGTGTAGAGTGGCCTTGGGTCGGATGGCGGGACAATCCTATCTCCCTAATGCGCCGTAGCTCTCCCTATCCACGCCAGTTGAGAACAACTTATGATTTTCGATTGATATGCTCTGATCTTGTCTCTTGGCTGGTTGTGCATTGGTTCTTCCCCCTGCGATTTCTCATTGGGTTTGGGTGGGTGGGTGGGTAACGCGAAATTGGTGACTCGTTTCGCTCCTTGCGCGCGCATCTCTAAGCCGCTGCTATACGCTTGCAGTGGTGGAGAAAGACTTCAGGCTCTTCACCACCCGTCTTGGGGCGGCACGATATCGCTGCCAATTGCGTCTCTATTAGCATATATGTACACCTGGTGGAACTATCCGTCCTCCTTCCTCGCGCAGCCCATTGAGGTCTTCGGTCACGTCTTAAGCCCGATGTGTGCGTGAGCCTGAACCCGACAGCCTCCCCTGGTTCCAGTTCTTCTACGTCCAATTAGAATCGATATATATATCTATGAGTCATCTAGAATGAGCCTTGTATTGCCTGGTTGGCCTATTAAGGTTTATCTCCACACAGGGAGACACTGCAGTAGACAAGACACTGAACTAAGTGTACTAAATACTAGGCGGGTATTCCTAACGTCGCGGCGGGGGTCTCCCGGCTCACCATTCGCGACTTTTAGTACACAAATGTCAATATCGCAAAGCCAAACCCTCTAATTTCTCCCTCTCCCACACTCGTGCTTCTAATACTGGTCGATTGAAACAGTATCATCCCCGATAAAGATCTGCGTTGCCAACCTATCTCGAAAGAAATCAGCTCTGTTAGATCTAAGTGATACGGGTGGTCAAAGTAGCGATAATTAACAAATCGCGCTGCGAGACGACGTGCTATGATATGAGCGGCCAACGTTTTGGCGACAAGTGACATATGCCGAATGTCCGAGGTGCTTCTTGGGATATCAGTGATCAACCACGCCTTCGATTAGTATGTGCTTCTACTACTCATCGCCTTTTACATTGACCCAATGGTTTCGACTCCGCCGTGCTCTTTGTAGGTGCCAAAAGAGCACACGTACATGACATAGATGATCGAATGGAATCTATGCTTTACGGCAAGTTCATGGTGGTATTGAGAAGCTGGAGCAATCGAAGGGTTCTCTGCCCATTCTCTCTGCACCCTAGAGGTAGCCACTCAGGAAAACGTCGAGTAGGATTTAGCCACCGGTAGCATCTCACGAGTTGTTGGACATAGCAAAGGACATTTCACCAAGGGACGCGAGCAGCGGCTCGTGGTTCGACACGATAGATGGTTATTTGCGTAGATGGCTGCGTAGATCTGGGTCGTGGTGAGGAATCAGAGTAGTTTAGGGATGCACATGGCTGATATGGGAAACAGTCAGCGTGGATTTGGGTACATGTCTAGGCTAGTGTGTGAGCTTGGCTGACTTCTTTGATGTAACCTGTCAATACTTGTACCCGCCGGTCGGCTGATGGTAGGATATGAGGTTAGGCGCCCCAGAACAGCATAAGTGATGCTTACTCCCTCGCATTAAGTACCTCGCATTAAATACCACAATATAAGTACGGTACATAGAGTCGATTTAGATACGCCACTCAGCCGAAAGCATCCATCAGCGAATAGTATATGATTGTAGATCGCTGCGGAAGTAGGGCGAGGTATTATCGTTCCTCATCTCCTTGCAGTCGTTGCAGTCTAGCAGCGCCGAGCGCCGATGGTGAAGACTACTTTCATGGTACTGGTAGGAAACTTAGAGCACCCGATTTCGATCTCTTGCAATCTGAGGCAGAGGTTGAATTGACCTCGATCGAAATAGAGAGTGGATTAATCTAGAGTCGGCCTCAAGGTCGACATAGAGTGTAGCGTGAGTTCCCCAATAGTACGACCGCAAGACTCTATGCGACCAACTAGTACGAGAGCATGGCCGGCTCGGCCACTAGAACCTGTGCTAGCCAGCCTGCCCCGGGTAAATCAAAGTCTAAACCGACAACAATGGTGACATATCACTTCATTTGAAGCTCTTAGCATCGGAGTCTTGATGCGCGATCTAACGACCGAAGTGCGTTGGAGATCGGCTTTGCACCCGATGGGCGGGCGAACATCGTAGCGACCGCGGCTTTTATTGCCGTTATCTACGAATAATATATATAGTCATACATGACTCTGAAATCACTCGTGACAGGCTCCTCTTGGCTCAATTTCGGTCCGTCCTAGGGTCACGACGAACGAGGATCTGCAGATGGGCCTCTCAAGTGATTTATGCGCGAGTTGTAAAGTGCTTCAGTTTGTGGGTTAATTTGACAGCGTCTCTGGGGGGTTATATAAAGCAGCACACGGAGAAAGCAAAACGTGGCGGTCGAATGAACACAAAAATACTCTGAAATGCTACGTTTGTTTCATAAACTCCATTAGAGGCGCTGCTTTCGTGGATCACCATGCGTTAGTGCTGCATTTACCCTAGATCGCTACGTAATATGCTGCTCATGACCTCCCACGGTTTGCTACGACAAGCAATAGTTCGTAGAGACACTATTGAACCTGGTGAGCGGCACCTACTGGTGGATACTCTTGGGCAAACGGACAGAGCTTATGGCGAAGATATGACGACACTCTCAGTCCGCCAGCCAGCGAACCGAGAGGATTGGGTAGAGATGTGGCCATCCTCAATGCAGATAGGAACCTGCTCCGGGATACATGTTTCATACGAAACGCTTCTGCCCCAGCCCTAAATTATAGAACATAGCGAATAACGTCAACGTGATCCACCTTCATCGATCCGTCCCTATTATTTGCGTTTGGCGAAGGTTGGACATGAGATTAGCATCGAAGAGCTCTGGTTGACAGATCGTGCTGAATCTGGAAGCTCGTCCTTCGAGTCTAGACCTGTGTCAATCGTGCTTCGAGTAAATCCATCAGACAATATATTATGATTATTTTGCTCGCCTTCTTTGCTGCCCTCTGCGCTTTCATCTCCTTTCATACTTACTGTGCGGCAGATAACTTCTCTATCTACTATGTAGAGTGTAACACGATGAATGAATCATACATTGCTCTGACTTATTTATCTTCATAGGTTTTGCACAAACTGTTTGCGTTGCTGTCTACGCGTCAAAGTGGCGAAGGACTGGTCCACAGCCTAACATTGCCAGATATTAATCTCCTGTATCATCAAGGTATCACCATGATCTTGGTTGTCAGCGGGTATCATTCGAGAGCGAGCATACGAGAAGCCCATTTAATATTGTCGAGGTAACCGCCCACTTTTCGAACGCATTAAAGGTTATAGGCCCATTGCACACACTATCTAACTTTGACTTAACACGGCTGCTAATTGGTAATTGGTAATTGGTAATTGCACTCGAGCCATCAGAAATCTATCACCGCAGTCGATCGCGATGACGTTCCTATTCAAATGCAGCAAATGCCATGCACTGCCCGCTAAATGAACATTTAATTGACATCCTTGCGACCTAAAAGTGCCCACTTGTTCGGGTCTCCTCAAGTCTCGGAGCCATTTGACAATCCATACGGATCAAGAGTCGAAGGAAACCTATAAACAGCAGCGGGTCTGATTCACTAAGCTGGAGATGCTTAGATATACATTCATTCCAGCTAACGAAACTAAGAATTCAAGGTGGAGGTGAAAATGACCCCAGGTCCCGTTTGATGGCTCCCCTATGTGGACCTCATGTCTGGTTCCGGGTATAGGGCTGACGAGCACTCCATTCTGGCCTCGTTCATATGCCGAGGGTCCCTACCTCTAAGCATCAATTTGGTTCTGCCGCCGAAGACCAGGTTAGAAGGAGTCCCACTGACGTTACGTCCATCACGGTTTATATTCGGTGCTGTATGAATTGATCGCGTCAATGCATTCGCCCAGCGCGCGCCTTTCCACAAGAGAAATCTGCTCATTCTCTCATATACCCTTTTGTTCCTATCTCCTCACATTCTTGGATCTGGCACCGGGAACAACCGTAATGGTTAACGACAGGGTAGAACTTCTTTGAACATGGAACTAGAGTCGCGACCGCATATTCAAAGGGCACTACCGGTTGATATCAGGTGCCACTGGTTGATCTATGGAATGATTCAGATGGTCAATCTTCCCCATCCCATCACCGCTGCGCTCAGTCCCAGAAGAAGATGATCTCAAGGTGGACGACGTTGACTAGGACGGCGATGCAACGAAGCAGAATGGGATCAATTGGGGTCCATAGAATTGTATTGCTACGAACAGTGGGTATTACAGGAGGCTTTCCAGAACGACAACCTTTATTCTTCACATACCGTATGTATATACGTACAACAACCGAGTATCTAGACCCAGCTTGGGTTCTGAAACAGTATAACTCGCGGAACTATATCGAGAGTGTATGCGAAACTGAGAGTTCAATATCCCCATGGTGCCGACGGAGATACTCGCTGCTGAAGCCTGTACCAGAGGGGCTGCGTAAATGGAGCATGCGACGAGTCTTGTCGACCCGTTCATTCCAAACAGTGTCGATATCTTCCAAACTCGTTCCGAGCGTCTCGGGGGCCCAGAGAAGGCAAATGACCGAGGTGACAACTGCAAAACCGCCAAAATCGAGCGTACATTCAATCACGAAGAGCAGTGGAGAACCATGAACCAAAAGTAGAAGGGAAGAGAATCAGTTACTCGGCTAGGGAGGAGGAAGAGGACCAACAGAGGAAACCCCCAAACATGAAATACGGCCCAGATGGACTCCGTTGCAGGAAAACCGGTGTGGTGAGCGCAACAATGACATTTACTAGCCAGTTTGTCGTCTGTGCGAGTGATGAGGCAGTTGCGCGTGTCCGCGAAGGTTGCATTTCCGTTGTCAGAATCTGTCCCATGTAATGAGATTACTTTCGGAAAGAAGATCCGTGGCTCTTACTTTCCCGACGACAGCCCATGTCATTGCGAATCTGTATCCACTATCAGCGTTGCCTTATAGCGATGGAGTAACCAATCATACGCAGAGACAAACACCTGGATACAGTCAGCAAAGGTTTGATAGAACGGAAAGGGCGTACATAGATCAGAGCAATGACGATCCACCGTCCCGCGTCCTGCTTCACGTAGCCACTCGCGTACATGGCACCGATGACGGTCATACAGAAGCCCATGACGAGACCACCGATAATCCAGCACGGTCGACGTCCCCATTTGTCAATCAACCAGAACTGAGAGGGGATTGTGGCGACAAAGTTGACGATACCGGAGATCCCAGAAGCCAGGAATGACGCCTTTCGTGAGCCGAGGCCTATTCACGAGTGAATATGCGAGTGACAATGTGAGGTGGAGCGAAAGGAGAGGAATGCAGAGGAGACGCACCAGCCTGAGCGAACAAGATGGGCGCATAGAACAAAACTCCATCGATTCCAGAGAGTTGTTGTAATCCCATCAGCTGTAGGAGCAGTTAGCCGAGTGCATAAAGTCACGAATGGATATACATACCAACATACCAAACAATGTCCTCTCTTTTCGGCCTTTTCCAAACGCGTCTGCAACAGCAGCAACATGCTCATTTTCCTTGATCGAGCTTAGTGCCGCACCAACGGGCGACGGCGCATATCTCTTTCCTGAAGTCACTTCTTCCGCCTGTCGTTGGGACGCAAGGGACGACTTGAGCATACGCCGTCGATGCAATTCATCATGATACTCCCGTTCCCTTTGGAGGGCGTCCTGAATCTTTTCGCGTTGCCTATCCCCGCCTTCGGGATCGAATACCGCAATCACACGCCAGGCCTCTTCCTCTCTCCCCTTTGCCGCCAACCATCTAGGAGAATGTGGAATGAGTGGTGTGCCTACTGCGAGAAGACAGCAGCAAATGCCCTGAATGATGAACGGGATTCTGAAGGAAAAAGTCGAGGGGAGGGATACGGAGAAGTAGCAGGTAAAGTAGCCAACAATGATGCCAATGGTGATAAGGAGCTGAAGGGTGCAAGCTGTCTTGCCGCGGACAGCTGGCGGGGAGATTTCTACGAGATAAACTGCCGGCTATCAATCTCCTTCTCGCAAATCGAGGTATAAAATGAATACCTGAGATCGTGTTGATGAACAACCCCTCTCCAGCTGAACAGCCTGTGAGAAAGAGGATAGCTGAAAGATAGAATCTCACCGCCAGCGAGGATCCGACCGAGTATGAGCATCCACAATTTGATCGCAGCAGCCTCGACGAAGCATCCCACTGCACCGATAATTGCGCCGATCATAATAGTTCTTTTACGACTCAGTCGATCTGATACGGATCCCGAGGCAGCAGAGGTAAGAGCGGCAGCCATCAGGATCTACCTCATTTAGTATGCCTTTACATGGTCAAAAAGATGAGAATCCAACTAACCGTGGCGACGAGTGTGCCTTGGATCGTCGAATTCTTTGCTTCTGGAAAGGTGTGCAAAAACTGAGCATTACGGTCACAGGTCCAATGAGACGTGAATGTATGTCAATCCAGTGTTGAACTTGGAGTACGTGAAAATGGACATATCTGTATCCATTCCCCAGAAGAAGCCACCGAGCGAGACAAATGTTGCGAGCGAGTTGATCGTCCAGGGGATTCCCATCCTCGGAGAGTCAAGAAGGTGGTCACCGAGTGCTCAGCTCGTGCGTGTTTATAGCTCGTCGTATAACCACAAGTCAGCAGACCACACACGGGTGGATTCGGGGTACCGATGACTAAAACGCGCGTCTAATACGGGCCGAAGGTTGCTGTTCGCTTCAACTATACGCCAGAAGTCTAATTCTATCTTGAAGCCCGTCAATGATAGCCCTTTGAAGGAAGATAAGGACTAACTCTAATCAGTTTTCGCGGGGGACCAGGCCTCAATCGCACCCTCGACGGCTTTCTTATCCCATCTCCCACGTGCAATCGTCTTTCCGTCGAGATGGAGAACGGGAATGTCGTATACGTATCGCTTTTTCCACTTTTCTTGGCCTGGTGCATGAATATCGATGGTTTCGAGTGTAAATGAGCGCTATTGTATCATGTAAGCATCCAGTGGTGCCCGAGTGACCATAATGGAGTAAGTCAAATCATAAAGCGCCGAGATGGAAAGACGAACCCGTGTTTGAATATCCTTAAGTATCTCTTTTGCCGTCTGTGGGACAATTATTGGCAGAAATGATCGAGCAAAAGACGCACGTCGCACAACGAACACGTTGGACCACTGAACAAGGTCAACGACGGCACACGACCCGTCGAGCTCATCATCCTCGTACAGCTCATTCCTATTGTGAAAGCAGGTTGCATTCGCAAAATGGCTAACGACATGGTAGAAAACAACTCGTACATCAAATAAGAATCATCCCCCTCCATCCACCGGTCGAGCTGTCTATTTGCGCCTCTCGACTGCCGTCTTGAATGTCACATACGGTCTCAGCACGACCACTCCCTCGGCGACTCCTGCCTCTTCAACGTCGTCAATGACCGCCTGGACACTCTTGTACGCCTCTGGTCGCTCTTGCACAAGCAAGTCTGGATCCGTACATACGACGTACGAGTCTAGCGCTGTGGTCCGTAGTTGATCTGCCGTCCCTCGTCGAAGCGATGGTGCGTTGCGCGGGTGCAGACGACCTGCGCCGTGCGGCAAGGAGTATGCATTCTGCTTTCCATCTCCCATCGGTTGCACTATCCAGCTAAAGTCGCCTCGGCTTCCCGGACACGGCACGAAACCTCTGTCAGCGGGTGCTGCGCCTTTGCGGTGAAGATAGGCGTCGACGAATGCCCCGTCGTGTTCGTATCCGGTCAAAGTGACAGAGTTGTGAGTGACATCGAGAATCTTCTCGAGCTCCGATAGGTAATCTTTGTAGTTGGGTTCTGCCGTGTCTTTCGCTTCCTTTTCGTCTTCTCCTTGCTCGTCACTGTCACTCCCACGCCCTCCAAAGATGCAAGCCTTGATTCGATGCGCCACTAAATCACGATTCGCCCTTGCCCACAGCACTGCATGATCATGTCTTGCCAGATATACTCGTCGCTCCTCCTCCTCAATCAAGTAAGGATTGGCATTCGAGCGTGTATAGTCACGAAGAATGCTCGCCCCTAGACCACGCGAGCCAGTGTGGACTGCTCCTCGTTAGATGAGATGTTGGGGACGCTGGCGCGACGTACCCAGCACATACAGTCTCCCTTCATACACCCCCATCGAGTCGCACGCCTCTTGATCTACAATGCGCTCGACACTCACAATCTCTGCAAAATGGTTCCCGCCACCAACAGTACCCAGGCTGGAGTCGAATTCGTCTTCCTCGTCACCTTTTATACCGTAAATGCTTAACCACCGCTTTGCGTCACCCTCCCACGGCTCATCTAAGCGTCCTTTGAGTAATTTGCTCGCCAGCTTTTGAGGTGTGAGGTGCGCTGGTGTTGCACCGAGTGGATAGAGCGATATACCACAGCCAATGTCGCTGCCTATGAGCGCTGGATAGATTCCTTGCGCGAAAATGGCGCAACCAATTGGGAACCGGTCGCCCTTGTGCAAGTCGGGCATCCCAACGACCGAACTGAGCATACGTAAGTGATGCACACTCGCATGAATCAAAGAACGTACTAGACCCCCTGTAAGCTCTTGAGCGCCTCCATCTGCTTCACTGCGTCCTCGTGAACAAAGCTCTGATGTGCGATTACGCTGCTCTCCGCGACGATGCCATCTGCACGCAGTTTCTTATTTGGCGGGCCGATATAACTCTCTCCTTTGCTCACGAGCACTTCGTCTTCCTCATCTGGGAGCGATGCGAAATCCTCGAGCTCGGCGCCACCACGGCGATAGACAATGTAGAGGTATTTGTTGTGAAACTTGTTCCGTGCTTGGAGTAGAATGTGGTCGCGGACGTTATAGACGTCGACGTCGTCTGGCTGTGGAAGAGGAACAAGCACAGTGATGCGTTTGGTTTGGTTTGCGTTGAGGATAATCGTGATCCGTCGATTCGGCATCTTGTGCGATCAAAAGGCGAAAGGTTAAAGTAAAGTCTGGAGAACGAAATGCAAGTGCTACATATATGCGCTGTAGACGCCGAGTCCAAGGTTGACTCACCGGACCCGTCATTCGTCTGGGATTGACTCGAGCTGGACCTGCTCATTCTATTGGACTCTTTTTCCCTACACAACTCAAACTATACCAGCACAACGTCTCATCCAGAGGACTATGTCTTCTCTAGAAACATGCATCGTAATTTGGAGATGATCTACAGCCCATACTCGCCACGAAAAGGCAACCGGAACTCATCTCCGACTTGATTTGCTCCTATTCGCATGAAATAAGTTCAAATCAGACCAAGAGCGTGCAAAATCTCCAGCATGCAAACTCTAGGAAGGATGCGCCGACCAGAGACATCCAGCCAATAACTGAGACAATTTGACCACAAACAAATTGAAGTAGGATGATCGAATATTACACGTTAAAAATAATAGGCCCTGGTTTCATTCGACTTCTCCCAGAGTGACCTGCAAAGCTAAGGGGAAACCGACCGTTGTCAGAGGCAAGGCCGCAGTGGTGGTGATTACTGTTGATTCCCTTTTGCTGTATGAAAATTCTGGATTGCTTGCATAACAGGGCCGGGCTGTTGCTGACCTGCCCCTGTTCCACGTTGACCTGCTCCGGATCTATGAGGCTGCCTCGCCTGCTTTAGTTATTCCTGCTGTTTTTGCGCTCCGCTTCGGCCCTTCTCCTCTCTTCGGCCCTTTCTCGTTCTCTTCTCGCTTTCTCCCCTTTTCCCTCTTGATTGCTTCGTTGGCTGCAGCCCTCATTTTGTTTACTTCCTCTTGTCTCTTGGCTGTATCCCATTAGTTTTCTTATCTCTTTGGGCAGTCTGAGCGATTTGAAGGGTTCCTGTGAGCGCATTCCCCCCTTGATTTGCGATAAGATTCCCCAAGGCTCATCCTGCTGGAATGGGAGTACAGGGCGTGTAGCTCGGTGAGGAAGGAGTCCAAGGGGCATGTAGACCGACACGGTACCTGTAGCTCGGTGAAGGAGGAGCCCAAGGGGCAAGGACTCCAACCGAGGCTACGGCTGACTATGTACATGACTGTCTACTACATCATTATCGAGTCACAACAACAGAGCGATCCTCTCCCAGTCGCCCTGTGAGGAGGGGCAGTCCCTTCTAGGCAGCGAGGAGTCAGAAATCTCGCACTAATGTACATATACATAATTCATACTCACTTATATGATCTCACTGTAGGTGGATCGTACCTTTCCTCTTCAATGGGCAAGTCAACCTATCGATCCGAACAATTTTGCGTTGCACTGTCTAATATACAGCTAATATGTCGAGGATAGGCAAACGAATCCTAGCTGACATCGCTAGACGCCTAGACTCGCAGATAATCTGTGTCAGAGGCTAGACCGGAGAACAATGATTAGCTGTGCATTGTCGGCATCCAAGAGCATTTTCGCACAAATAAAATCCTCTGAAATGCTACTTTCTCCATTCTCATTGTTCCCGAGAGTCGGCTGAGCGCCTCGACTTCTCATGAGCCAGGAGTAACTTAAGAAAGGGGAGAGGTGAATGAAGGGATGAAGCAATAAAGAGTTGTAGTTCTGGCTATGAACTGTCACGAGTGATATACACGTGTTGGACACAAGCGTTTCGGACATATGGCGATCCGGTGTAGGTTGGAAAACATTGACGACAGTGGTGTCTTGAGCGATCTCGACGAACGACAATTCTGCGGACTGTATACTCTACGTGTCACGCTGGAGCACGGAGTTGCACCACCAGACTCGAGATTCGTGTCCTCGAGGCACGCGTGTGATCTAACCCCTCAGCTCGAGCAACTACGTCAGGTCTCAACTTCAGAAGTCGGACAAGAGGCCAAAATGTCTGCTTCTGAAGACGATTGGGAGGGTTTAAATAATTGGAACCATGAGGGATGTGTGCGGGAGACTAGAGGTATAGGGTGAGGGCACTAGCTGTTGCCAGTGCCTCAAGTTCGGTGGCTGTCGAACATCCCTGTTGTGTTATGCCGTTCCTGACATGAACTTCACACTTAAATCTTCTCACTGGCATCAGTATACCGTTTCTGTATCTATCGAACATGGTCCGATCGCTTCTGCACAAGGCTCATTGCTCCTTGAAGTGGACCTCTCTCAAACCAATTTCGGGTTTAGTTGGCGTTATTGGGATGGTGTCTGGATGCTCTGCACTCCCAAACTGGAGAAGATCCTGCCTTCCCTCTCTGTCCGTAGCCCAAGCGTTGACGGAGGTGGCTCGGGTGATTCGTCTTGAGGAGACCGCTGAATATATCCGAAGGAGATATTCACTTGAAATTTGGTGTCAGGGGTGTCATGAATAGATAACAAGAGTTTAAAACCATTTTATACCATTTATGTCGACTCAACGGCTAGGCCTCTTACTAGCTCTAGAGACTCCCATTCGGTCAAAAGAAGGTAGCCGGAATATAAGAGAGACTCTCCGCCCTGAAAACGGGCGTCTAACTCAGGAAGAAACGGCCCTTGGCTTCGACTGACCAGTCGCGCTTATACGCGCCTAATCTTTGGACCTTCCAACATCCGGCTCATGTTTACGACACCTTTTATACTTTTTGTTATACTTTATTTCCTCTCTAACCTGGGATGGTGCCAGAATCTCGTTCTCAATGGCGATTTTGAGCTCGGAACTGGTGCTTCGCCCGCGAATTGGTCCGTGGAAGGTGAGCATGCATCTCCGGGATCCCGATTTCATTACTCATGTTCACCTTACATAATGATAAACTCACTGAACATAGGCACATACCAGATTGTCACCGGCCAGAACAATTCTCGACACGCCGTCGCGATTGGCGGTCTCAAACCCGCAAGGGCGGGGACGCTCGTCCAGGCTATCACCACGTCACCCAATGTCACCTATGAGCTCTCCTTTTGGGCCGCGTATGACGATGCGTACGCACACTTGCACGGCGGTGGCCGAATGATCCAAGTCCACTTCGGCCAAGGTATTTGGGAAGTCAATCCCGTTGACGAGAATTGGGTGAAATATGTCGTCAGCGCCAAAGGCAAGGGCGAGGGGGATGCAGTCGCCTTTGTGGTTTACGACTTGGATCAAGCGAGGTTTGTGATTGACAGTGTCAGCCTTGTTCCAGCGTACGTATCTGTTTTACACGGCTGTTCCGTCCCCTGATACATGCTGTTAGTGCGTCTTCAAATGCGACGACCACGAATGCGACCTCATTATCGCCGCCTACTATCACTCCCACACCGACATTCGCAACGTCGGTATCGAGTGCATCTGTAGCATTAGTATCCTTGATTCCCATCACTACTAGTGGAGCAAGTCTCGTCAATGGGACAGCGACCAGCTTTGCGACGACCACCGTCTTTGTCGACTCGCCCCTCCCAACTCAATCGTCTGCAGCTCCCTCCAAGACACTAGATTGGAAGGCGATTGTTGGAATCACATGCGGTACAATCACAGTTGTTGCAGTTGCGAGTACGCTATTATATTGTTTCTGTAGACGATAGTCCCGTATAATGCGATCCACGACATAATGATATAGTCTGAAATCATCAGCAAGTTGTCATTTTGAGCCGGAAAACGTACCCCAAGTTAAGCCATATCCATTGGCTCGCCATAGAATTCTTCGCCCTCTTCGCCCTCGTCTGATGAGTCTGCACCTTCCTCCATTGCGTCGCGCTCCCGCTGAGCACGGTGTTCGGCCATAATTTGCTCCCGCAAAGCTAGCTTTCCCTCGAGGTCGGCCGTCATCTTGGCCACAGCATTGATAAAGCGCGTCTACGCAGATGATCTCAGTCACCATCCGAGAAAATAACTGAACACAAAACGCACCTTGAGAGCCACATTGGTAACCTTGGCAATATCTTCATTCTTTTTCGCAATTGCCGTCTCGAGCTGCCGAATTTCATCGTCGACGAGCTTTTTGGCGCCACTATACTCTTCGTCATCATCGTCTTCATCTTCTCCAGAGTCACTCCCACTCCCACTCCCGCTACCACTTCCTTCGCCATCGCTTCCTCCTTCACTCGCCTCTTCTTCTTCTTCCTCTTCTTCCTCTTCCTCTGACGCTTCACGGAGTGCGTCCGCTATGGCTGCAGCGAAAATCTCGTCATCGTTTTCCTCTTTCACATCACCCGCATCAGAGGCATTCTCGTCGGGTGTCGCTGGAGGGAAGACTTGGGCAATGTACTCCGAGTCGGACAAGTCCTCTGCAGCGTCTTCAATCACACGTTCCTCGACACGCGAGCAATTCTTTTCTTCAGCCAGCAGACGTGCGACTTCGTTTTCGACAGTCTCAATTGCCTTTGCGCGAATCGTCAGGCGCAAGCAAACGGAGAAAAGAGGCGACAATACCTGTCTATTGAGTCGCTTTCGGAAGCGTCGTTTGCGGACGTGGCGCAGTGGAGGTGTCATACCGTGCGGCCAAACGAATTCGTTGGCGTTGAACGCCCTTTTCTGCGCGAGCAGCGCGTCTTCGTTGGGAAGTGTTGCCTCATCTACAACGAGCATCTATCATATTGTCAGAAACGTTTGTTTGACCTAATTGAAAGCCTACCTGGCAGATGTCGGCGACCTTGAACATGTGCTTGTTGTCGAGCGTCTTGGATGATTCGACAATACTGGGCATGTCGACCAATTTAGCAGGATGAAGTGAGTCTCCGATATGAAATACAGCTCTTCTAGGATCTAGACGCTTATGAATAACCGTACAATTTGACATTGGCAACCCACTTCACCTTTAAACTTGAACCAGATATCTGGTGCAGTGCCACGTTTGCTAGCAATCTCTCGAAGCCTATCACAGTCTTTTCCAGGCGGCATCTTGAGAATAAACTGCTCTTCAAACACCAACTCTTCATCTTCCGAGTCCAAATCGCGATCATACGGGCCCAAAAAGCTCTGACGTCTCCCATCTGCCCCTTCGCTGACTTTAAGCTTGAGTTTGGGCATCCATTTGGGCCTATTCGCAAACGCCGTCCCGGAGCGCGTTGTTCTGTCGCCAGGGGCTCCCTCACCTCCACCATTCCCGCCCGTAGACGATGGAGTGAGATAATCTGGGAGATATTCATCGGTAGGCGATGGAGGTTCAGCGAAAGAGGTGCCAGTCGCTGCGCGCTTTCGTAATGAGCGGCCACCTGTGGTTGTCGCTTGTTCTGACGCGTCTGGAAGAGGTGTAGGAGGTGCTTGTAAGCCTTGGGATGTAGCTGGAGCGGCGACGGCCGCTGATGATGAAGGCTGGTCGGACATGGTCAACGCTCAAGAAGTGATCCACCGTCACCAGTCAATAATTCACTCGGGACAATTCCCTTGTAGAGCATGATGAATCCGAGAATGGATATATATTTGTGATACGCTGAGTCATATGGAAGGACAATGATTAGAAGAGCATCGCTGTAAGCCCGAGGAGACCAGCTGCACTCCATGCTGCTCCAATCCTCTCAACGTTGGCAAACCCAGCACCTGGAGTAGATGTAGTGGTAGCACCTGTAGAGGTTGCTGACGCCTGGCCGGTATGCGACCCCGTGTGCGATCCAGTCACGGAGCCATGCGTATCCGTCGTTCCGGAACCAGAGCTCGTGGGAGGTGCTTGTCCTTGAGCAACAGCCTGGAAGGTTGCCAGGTTATTTCCTGGGTTGACCGCAAAGACCTACAAGTATGAGACGAAAGCTTGACTCTCGGGACCGGAGAAGCGTACCATTCCGACTCGACAATGATTTCCAACATCGCAATATACCCATGTGGGCTCGGTCGAGTTGATAGTAATCTGGAATGACCCACTCGTCACCCTATAGGTATCCTGAATCAGTAGACGGCAGCGAAAAGTAGAAAGAGAATTCGCACTGTCCAGAGTCAAAGCCACCCTCCTTTCGAACGCATGGATTTGCAAGTGTGCTCTCTACAGCCGAGTGAAAGCTGGAGAACTGGAATGTGACCGTATCACCAACGACGGCGTCGGAGACATGGTCGGGCACAAACGTGTTTGCCCCGTTTTCGCCGACTGCGACATCATAGTTCTTTGCACCGACGAGCGAAATCCCAACAAAGACAGAGGCGACGTATTTTGCGAGCATTTTCTAGTATTTACCTACGAGTCGTGGTCGGGGAAGAGTTTCGCACGGCTCGACCTGAGAAGATGGATGAGACAATGCCAAGAGACGAGCCCCACATGAAACCCCGATAAACTCCGCTAGTCTCGGCATTCAAAGCGTATGAGTCTCTATGTGGATGGAATTCAACGAACCAAGTCTTTAGGATCCCAAAGTCCAAAGGACAAATCAATTGGGCGTCGCTTAGTACTGATTTCCACCGCCGTTGGACCAAGATAATCAAGTTTAAAACGAAGCCTATGACTAAATTCCCTGGAGATCAACAGAAGCAATATTAGCACCGGGCAGCAAAAGCCCAATTAATCGCCAGGAACACTCAAGAGGGTCAGTCGACGCACCCAATATGTTTCCATTATGCTATATCGGGCTCTCTGCGCGTTAAGCAAAGAGCCAACACAAATGTTCGCCTGGTCAATTCCAACTTGGACCCAGCGTCTGCCGCGTTGAAAAGTCATGGCCACCATAAACTACAGAGAGTGCGCCCACCTTCATATACATCATGTAGTATGACTCGTTGACTGATAATGATACGTATAGCACTCAGTGCCGCGATATCTTGCAGACGCTCAAGGATCATGTGAACAAGACTCGGTAGGTCGTGATTTCGTACCATTCTCAACCCAGATTTCCTTTAATTATATCATCTACTGCATTTGTCGCGCTTTCTGTGGTATCTGGCCCGAGACTGACATCTGGCGTTGTGGCCCCAGCACGCCGTTTGACGAATCAATACCAGCGTATGAGAGACAAATGCTTATGAGAAAGATGGACGAACAAACAAGACTCATCAAGCAAGCCATGTCCTCACTCTTGTCTGGGATTGGCAACGATCGCAACTGGGTATGCCACCCTCGAGAACTAGTCATCATCTGACATAATTTGGTCAGTTTGCTCCAATCTCCATGCTAATGGACGATATCCTCATCGAGATATGGATGTTGCTCCCCCTCCGGGACCGCATCTCCGCCGCCCAAGTTTGTCAACGTTGGAGGGTCGTGGCGCTCGATACCAAGTCGTTATGGACAGAGATCAATATCGAAGTCTTTAGTAGTCGCAAAATAACCGCGCTGCTCGAGCGCAGTGGTCATTCGCCGCTCACCATTACCGCTGGAAACAAAAAGCTCGATAAATGGTGTCTGAACAACATGGTACCTCCATACCCGACTCCTCGTCCATCAGGCCTCTTCGGCCAGCCACCAATGCCGCCGCCCGGACAAATGCGGCCTCCAGTCGATCGAACCAATCTCAAAGCCTACTTTTTCCACCAATTCACCTTCGACAAGATCATTGGACGAGCTGAGCGACTCGAGGCGGCGGTCGGCGTCGATAAAAGTCACTATGTGACATACCGAACGCTCAAGACGCCCATGCCATATCTCAAGAGCCTTGTCCTCCGAGAGGATACACGAGTCAACCCGTGGGGAGCTGGGTCCATTTCAGCCAATCAGGAAAAGTATCGCAAGTATAGGGAGATGCCAGACATCTTCTTTGGTGGCGTGACGCCCCAATTGCGAGAGGTATCCTTTACGCTCATTCATGCGCCATGGAACGACCCCATCTATCGCGATCTCACCCGGCTCAAACTCTCCACGACAAGGACGCGTGCAAAACCGAGCGAGATGCTTCGGTTGTTGGCCAATTGTCCACAGCTCGTCTACCTTGGCATTCATGAGACTATGTCACCCATTGTACAAAATCACCTCCCCAATCTTGGGGAAACGCCAATCTATTTAGACCCCACAGAGGAGATGGACATGGTCTTTTTAAACCATCTCAAACGATTCAACCTCGAAGAATCGGACGCTGCCGTCTTCCCCAAGCTAATGTCTAGAATCCGCGCGCCAGTTCTTGAAAACCCAATGTTACTTATACCCGACACATCGTGTTTGATGGATTATCGCGATGGAGGGAAGCCATACGAAGCATTGAGACTTTCCTTTTCTCAGACGACTGGGCTCCAGATTACCGGTAATCATGGCCAGCTCAACGTGTCTGGAGTCGGCAACAGGCGAGCCAAATCGCCTCGTTTTGCAAGAGAGGATGGGTGGAGTGTCTGTTGCCGACCACGAACGCGTACGTGTTTCACACCGATGCAAGGTCTCGTACTCATACTCACTCAGGTGTCATCCCCACCCTACCCGCGTACGCCAATGGCAATACGACAAACGCAGCGTGGAATCCAGTGGCACAACTTCACCCTTCGAGCGGCATCAACCCATTGTGCGACTTGCTCCAGTTTTTGCATGTCATGGAACGCACCGGGGTCGTGTACTCGCAGATTGAAAAGTTGAGTATTGCAGGCACCATGGATGGTACAGTATACCGAAGCGTATTTTCGCGATGCTTCAACCTCAAGGCGCTCGTCGTGTCGACGGCAGGAGGCCTCAACGTGCTCAAGGAATATATGCAAGATCGACATTGCCCATCTCTGGCCTGGCTTCACCTCGAGCGGTACTCTGAACCAGCGAACGAGTTGGCGGACTGGCTTGAACTCCGCAAGCAGAGTGGACACCCTCTCCGACGTGTGATCGTGAGTGTACACACGATATTACATCCGCCCAATGGGAATGCGAATTGGAATTTCGCTCCAGTGGCGCAGGAATCGAGCACGCTTGATGCCGAGACGAAGCGGCGGATCGAAGCGGCGCTCGAGCCCGGTTTACCTGGGCGTACTCAACGATTCGAGTGGCGGACGGCGAGACCGTTTATTAGCCCGAATATCTACGATTTGGCGAGTCAATGGGATGAAGAAGAAGAGGAGCGAGCAGAGTTTGAAAAGATGGCTACTCAAGTTGGGTTGACGGGGGAGAGTATGCGGTCTGTCCTCGATTTGACGACGCGAGGTGGTGAAGCTATGGATATTGTTGATGAATATCCTACGCCGACGTTGTTGCCCCTCAATACGGACGTATCAGAGGAGGAAGGCATTCATACGAGCATTGGATCACCTGTGAGTCCAGAGACGCCGATACCGCCCCTGAATCTGGGCAATATGATGCCCATGTACGGGCAGACGATGACCGACTTTGATGAAGATGAAGAGTGGGACTTTGGCTTTGGGCCGTCGATGTGGTTGTAGACAATTGCTGTAGCTGTATCCTGTATGAAATTCCATTTACACTCTATAATTTTTTTTTCATTAGTAATATGAGCGAAGTACCCCGTGCCTTGGACCCGGCTCTGTCAGCCGGACAAGTGTGGAGAGGGCGGGCCGCTGATACAAAGGGTCGCATAAACGATCTCGACTGTGCAAGACGGCGAATGCGACGAGGGTTGATGAGCTTCAGACGATGAAGAAGAGCAGCTGGACAAACTTCTGGCGTGGATTTTCCGTATGTATGGGATGAAATTTGATAGTCGAAAGGATCCGAGAGTATAGGAAGAATATAGGTAGGTACAAAGTGTATTTTTGGGGGAATTTTATAGATAGCTAAACGTCGGACTTTCTTGGTGGACAGGGCGCATGGGCCCGGGCCGAGGACGGAGTTGGGACGGAGTGTGGACCCGTCGAATTGGATGGAGAACACGCTCTCAACCCAAGGTTAAAAAGCACGCCGTCTTCCAGTTGGGAGCTTTTGAGAAGACCACTTGGACTCGTCGTCCTTTGCCGCTCCTTGGACTCTTCCTCGTCCGTCCACCCCGTCGAAATCATCTTTCAACTCTCAGTCAAGTAGATAATTTTTTCTACAATGCCCACTGCAAACGGCACACACGTCTCCCGCCCTCTGAAGCCTGGCGTTTTCGCCCCCATTCCTACCTTTTTCCTCGAGGGCTCCCAGGACATTGGTACGTTGTCTCCCTCGTGTTTACTGGCTTCCTAGGATCTCAACGCTAATCGCTTGTCCTCGTGCGCTTCTTATATCATCTAATCGCACCATTCCTCCGCAAATTTACGACGTGTGGACGCCACTATTAGACATTCCAACCCTCAAGAAGCATGTCGCCCATGTCGGCTCGGCTGGAGTCGGAATCGTCATGTGTGGCTCTATGGGCGAGGCCCACCATTTGACTGCAGACGAACGGATTCAAGTCGTCAAAGCTGCTCGTGAAGCACTCGACGAGGCTGGACTCACTACAGTGCCCATTATCGCCGGTACAGGAGCTGGCTCGACAAGGGAGACAATCAAGTTGAGCAAGGACGCTGCTCAGGCTGGTGCAGACTATACCATTGTCATTCCCTCGGGTTATTTCGCTGGTGCACTCGCCAATGATCGACTGGCCATCAAGACTTTCTTCAAAGAAGTCGCCGAGGGAAGCCCGTTACCCGTCATGGTCTACAATTGTACGTGCGCATCTCTTAATTCTTGATTGCATAGAGAAGGATTAAAACGACACCCCCCCATCGATTAGATCCTGGCGCCTCTGGAGGTATCGACATGGATTCCGACTTGATTGAGGAAATGGCGGCGGAGATTCCAAACCTCTGCGGGGTCAAACTCACATGCGGAAATGTCGGCAAACTCACGCGTATCGCCGCGACAGTTTCGATTCCCTCGTTTGCAAAGGAGCACCCGCGGAAGAACAAGGATGCTCCGTACGTCTTCTTTTCTTTCGACTCTCCAAGTAACAAAATCCCTCTGAAACACGATGTGTAGCTTCCTCGTTCTCGGTGGATTCATCGACTTTTTGCTCCCGTCCTTGTACGCAAATGCCCATGGAGCCATTACCGGTCTTGCCAACTTGTACCCGCACACCATTGCTGCACTCTGGAATGCATCTCTTGCGACGCTTCCAACCGCTACTGGTCACGCATCCGACGCTGTCCAACGCCTCGAGCAAGCACAGCACCTGCAGGGGATTGTCGCGCGTGCCGATAGAACCATTGCGGTCTCGGGCATTGCAGGAACCAAGTGGCTATTGGAGAGGAAGCACGGCTACGGTGGTGTATGCCGACGTCCGCTCGGACCGCTGCCGGCGTCTGTAGGCGAGGTTCTCGCGAAGCACAAGCACGTTGTCGATATCTCCCAAGTCGAGAGCGAGTTGGAAAAGGCGCACAAGACCAAACCTTACTCTTCGACCCCGGCTGTGATCAAAGCGACGAATGGTGTCCAGAATGGTGTGCCGGTAAGCAGTAGCCAAGAAAGCTCGTCCACTCCTACATCTTCACTCTCGCCTGCTACGCCCTCGACGAGTGCTGAGAACGATCAGTCATCGGTCACGGGAAAGAAGAAGAGCCATTCGCGCTCAGGTTCCCTTTCGAATAGCGTCCGGTCGCTGTTTGGTTCGATGAAGCGCAAAAAGGCGACGGTGGCATGATCCGTCTTCCCTTCCTCGTTGATTCCCCTTCCAGCACCACGCACGCCATCATGTTCCTTCTTTTTTTGGTCTCTGTGCAATACAACCGTGTTTACCTCATATTTCAGGTCCTGACAACTGCGTGACGTGGATATGATCGCGTTCTAGTGGAGGCTCGGGTAGAGCTATTACTCCGACATGTGTCCATTTGAAGTGTCGAGAGTCTCGTGAATATTACGTGTTGCAGCGATTGAAGCGCTTTGTTTGAAAGAGGACGAATAGAAGTGTCGTTTTGGTATACCATGGATTGTGAAATGGCAGCTATTCGCCGTCTGGACTTTCGCGGGGGAAAGATTGAAAGCTGGCTCCCGTCGGGCGTTGCTGTCCGTCCCGGGACGACTTTTCCCGTTGTATCTGCCAAGACTTTTGTTTTTTGATCGGTTTCAAAGTGTACAAAACCATGGTCGGTCTTCCTCTCTGCTCAGATGAGATCGTGGCGCGGGTGCAGGGTGGCGACTTGCTTTTTGGTTCCGACCGCCCGAGCCGTTTGGACTGCTCGCGTCGCTTTCTCTTCTTCTATTCGCCATTTTCTTTTTCCAGTTTATTTTCTTTTTATTTTATACCCTATCTATCTGCAACGACAATCATACGACGCGCTTTCATACCTAGTACAATACCTCGATGCCAGGAATTCAAAGGTACGTATCGGATAGAGCCGACTAGTCTCTGGCTAATGACATTTGGGAATAGATATGTGATAGAGGAACGGCAAGATGCATTCCCTTCTGGCACCTTTGAACAATTTGGAAACTTGCCTCGATTTCCAAACCAGGGCATCCAGCAGCCAATCCAGGCATCATCTCAACGAGAAACTAGATCTCCTACAAGCTCTCCACCGGCATCAAGCTCTCGTTCAACCTCTAGTTCGTCTGTACCGGTTGCGCCACCTCCAGCGACGCTGCCTGAAGAGACACCATCATCACGAAGTGAGGTGCCGTCTACAACTCAGAGTACCTCGACGAGCTCGGTGACGGTATCGTCTACTACGTCCACTGCGTCCACCAGCACGGTTCTGTCCACGACGAGCGTACGAGTCACGACGTCGCGGCCGTCCGCTACGAGTGTTCAGACGTCTACGATATTTACAAGGACCACGACTATGTACATCCAAGAACCTCCAATACCCTCCTCGAATCCCAGCACCGACTCGAGTAGTGTCGATCCAACGCCGTCACCGACTCACCTCTCTCCGACCGCAATAGCCCTCCTCATCACACTTGGTGCATTTTTCTTCCTCCTCATTTCCATTGGGGTCTTCCGCAGTGTGCATACGTGCATCCGCAGACGTCAACGGGAGAAGCATGACGACTCATTCCAGAGCTCAATGCACTCGGAAAAGGACGGGCCGAAGGAAACTTCTGGTAGGCTGGGTGTTGGTCACAAGTCAAAATCTTTGTTCTCCAAGAGCCCGAGCTCAATCTTTGGCGGCAAGGAGCGCACCGGGTTGACGCCGAATCCGAGTTGGACGACGTTTCCTGAAGCCATGTCTCCCGGCATCATTCCATCACGGTATCCCCTAGGATTGGTCGTGCCACCTACGACTGTCTTGTTTCCCCAGTTGCCCTCTGGAGGTCCAATCGGACTCGGAGTCACGACAAAGGTGGAGGATGCTACTCCGAGTTCTCATCCGCAGCAAACATTTGCACCTCCTACAATCACCATCACCTCGAGCAGCCCTCGTCAGTCTTCTCAGCCGTCAGGAGAGAATCCTCGCGACATATCTCCCTCGAATTCTCTCAACTCGGCCAGTGTGTATGAGCATCCCGTTTACGGTGCCCAGCTTGTCAAGCCGCCCAAGCTAAGATTAGCAAACGCGGACGCCGGAGGCCCCTCGTCTGACTGCGAGAGTGGAACGAGGAATAGCGGTTGGAGTAGCTGGGACGATAATGTTGGCATTGAGCTGGGCGTCAAGATGGATCGAAAGGTATGCCTTCTTTTCACAGAAAACTCTGTGAGAACTCACCGTTTCATAGCTTGCTGGCTCTCGTCGGGCTAACATGTACAAATCCAAGACTGCTCCGTCGCCACTTCGTCGTCAGCAACGCCTCGAACCAGTCAAGGAAGTGTCGGATTCCGAGACGGAGAGGCCGAATGTCGGCTCTCGCACGGCCATTGCGCATTCCTATTCCCAACGAAGGAGACCTGCAAATGCGTCTCCACTTTCGACGAGGTCGAGTCCACGGTCAATACGTAGCCCACGACGCCAGCAGACCGGCGAGCTGCTCTATGATCTTCCTAGATTCGATACTCTGAGCCCTAACATGCCTTCGCCATCGTCGCATCGAGGGGCATCATTGTCGAGATTACGTGGCTCGAACCCTGGGAGCAAGAGGAGACAAGACGCTGGGAACAACGTGAAAAGCTCGGATGGATCTAGTCTAGTGGCGAATGCCGGCTCCTCCCAGGCGTTGAACCGAAACTCCAATGTACCCTCTGTGGACCAGGGAACGCCGAGAAGGGATAGAAATGGCCAAGAGAACAAGCCAATCTCATCCTCGACTGGCGCCACCAACAGCAAGCTAAAATCCTCAACGACTGGATTTGCATATAAACTCACACCGCAGCTTGGGTCCTCACCCAATCCGCATACAAGAGTGGGTACACTCATGATGTCTGCGGCGTACGACGAGGACGAGGTGGAGAATTCATATGTACGGCGACCACCCCTCAAAGACACGACCAATCGTCCCCCGACTCGGGTTGGGCTGGGTGTCATGATCCCGTCTGACGAGTCAAAGGAGAGCGACCTTGCCTACGTCGAATCTGCCCTAGCGACACCAGATTTTGCAAGTACGGCCTACAGCTACAGTCCAAAACGAGATTATCGACGACATACGACTGGTACGAACGAGAGACGGCGTTCGACAGATGACAGGCAATACACTCCTTCAAGCGACAGAAGGTTCACAGGCTCTTCGACCGTGACGACGCCAGGAACCGGAAAGATCTCACCCGAGTACCGCGACGTACCGTCGCTTCCGCCAGTTGGGGGTCCAAACCTGCAGCAAATTAAGATGATGCGCGATCAGCCCGACTATAGAAGCCCGACATATAGTATTTATGGGCTATACCGCGATCAGTCGCGTGTGAGCCCGTTGAACGCAACACCTGCAGAGCTAGTACAATACTCGAGCGCTCCGACAGAGCGGCTATAGTGCACTTTGGAAGGGGTGTGGCAGAGAGTCGAAATGTTCATACGCTGAGGGGCAAATGATAGAAAGGGGAACTGGAGGCTGGAGTGTGTGTCATGCCCGACACCACCGGTGTGGTTGTGGGAACATGTATACTAATCTGAGGACCTATCGACCAAGGTTACGCCCGGAATTCGACAGGAACGCTTCTTCGTGCGTTCTGAGTGTTGGCCTCAATGGGCGTCAAATTTCGGTAACCGCATGTGCGGGGTCATGCCGTCACCGAGATTGGTTTATAAACTCGACTCGTACGAGTCTACTCTTGCACCCCATCGTTATACTCTTTCGACATGGTCTCTCCGTCCCTTCTCTCCATTCTTGCCGCTGTTGCTGCCGTTGCTCGTGCAGCCAATTACGATGTCAACGTTGGTGCAGATGGCTTAAACTTCACACCAGCGAGCGTCTCCGATGCTGTTCAAGGGGATACGATCACGTTTCGCTTCAGTGGGATGCACTCTGCGTCCGAGTCTACGTTGACTGACCCGTGTACCAAGAAGAGTGGTGGCTTTGATTCTGGACAGTGAGTGATAGCTTTTTAGCATTGTGAAAATGTACTGACGAGGTGGGCGTAGATTGACCGGCGGAACATATCAGGTTACGCTCAACTCGACGGACCCCGTCTGGGTCTATTGTAATGTCGGTGGACATTGTCGTGCTGGAATGGTGAGTGATCTATTTGCAATTCATTGTATGTCTGAGTGCGTCGTGCTAGGTCTTTGCTGTGAACCCCGGTTCCAACTTGGCGGCATTCCAAGCTGCTGCTCAAGGACAGACAGTTTCTTCGACTGGTAGTGCCGGTGGATCTTCGACTGGTTCGGCGTCGAGTGCACACACCAGCTCGACGGGCTCTTCTGGCGGTGGTAGTGGTGGCGGCTATGGCAGTCCCGGTGCTGCATCTCGCTCTTCTTCGTCCTCTAGTGCATTCTGGGTGCTGGCTGGTACCCTTCTCGGTGTGGCAGCTCTCTAGTAAGGGTGATAAACCTCAGGGCTTCCGGGTATGAATCAAACTATTGTCGCCATATGAAGTGTATGAGATTAGATACTCCAGTTTGTCATTTATGACTTTTCAGGGTTGAAATGCAGGTCTTGGAAGCCTTCTCAGACCACAGTTCCGACTACAAAACGCCAGTTGGTTGAGCTTGGTTTGTAGTTCGGTAACTAAACTCCCTTTGGAAGCACCAACGACTTTGATTGTGTTCAAGTTTTCGAACTCTGCTACTGTTTCGCTGAATTATGTCAGCACCAACTACACGGAGCAACTAAAATGCAAATGAAAGCGCATGATGGAGGCTAAAGGGAATTGGTGAGCGACTCTCGGAATAAAGCTAGGTGAAAGACAACTGTGCGTACTCCTTCATGCATGTTTGAATTAAGAATCCGACTGGGCTATCCATGTCCGGTCGCGAAAGGGATGAAAGTCTTTGCCTCTCTGCTCTCCTTTTTGGGGCCTGAAGATGACGCTAATTGTACTGTGAATGTCTATATCAGCTATATCTGCACATTGGCGTGCACGACACTGGCTGTTGGCGCATCTTGGCACGGGAACAGCAGGCGGTACACCCTCTAATCTGAGGTTCATAGCCTCTTCGGCCATGATGAGACCGAGACCTGGAGGATCCCTGCGGTTTACCGAGACATGACGTCGCTTGTACGTGTTTATGGGTCACACCTGCAGATCAAAATGGCGCAAGTATGTCTACGCGAGTGCGCTCCGATGAATGGGATATCCGTAATATACAGCTGGCGCATTAATCACTCGCTTCAGGAGAGCGGCGATGGCCTGCTGTGAGTGGTGAGTTGCGAAAACGGAAAACATCCACACTCGAGGAGATAACGGTAGATAGTTGTCAGAATGCTGGACTCTAACGCGGTTTGGGTACATGTAGCAACGTGTATGCGACTCTGGGCTAACGAAGGGAGCCACACCCGCACTTGGACACAAGGTACTCGTTCGTATATGCCAGGGTAATTCAATTGGCGTCAAAGTCCGGTAGCCAGCAGCGCGGGGCATGCTGGCATTGAGACGGGTATATAAACGATTGGTGCGAGTCTACTCTTCCACCCCATCGATACACTCTCCATCTACATGCTCTCTACGCCCTTCCTCTCCATTCTTGCAGCCATTGCTACCGTCGTTCACGCAGCCAACCACGACGTCAATGTGGGCGTAGATGGTTTGCAGTTCACGCCGCCAAGTATTTCAAATGCTGTGAAAGGAGATACGATTACGTTTCGCTTCAGCGGACTGCACTCTGCTTCCGAATCTACCCTAACCAGTCCATGCACCCACAAGAGCAGTGGCTTCGATTCTGGACAGTGAGTGAGAGCCTGATAGTGATGAACGGCGCATTGACCACGATGGTGTAGATTGTCTAGTGGGACGTACAAGATCACCCTCAACTCGACGGACCCTGTCTGGGTATATTGTAGCGTAGGCGCGCACTGTCGCGCTGGAATGGTTAGTGATCCGCTTTCAAGTGATGCCGTGCCTGAGTGTGTCGTATTAGGTCTTTGCGGTGAATCCTGGTTCTAACTTGGCGGCATTCCAAGCTGCAGCCCAAGGACAGACGGTCTCTTCAAGTACCGGTACGACGTCGACGTCGACCATAAGTAGACCTCCGACAAACACTACATCTTCGTCTGCCACCATTAGTACATCTCCGCATACAAGTACCTCGACCACGCCGAGACCTTCGACGGCTTCGACAATTACGAGCTTGAGCACTTCAACTCCTGGCGCTGCGTCACGGTCAATGTCGCCATCAAATGCGCTCTGGGTGTTGGCTGGTGCTGTCCTCGGCGCAGTGGGCATCTGATCTGTTCGGTAATCAAAGTGTAGAGCTGCAAGAAAATGAATAAAGGCTGTTGCGAGCACACGAGTGTGAATGATAAACGTCGTTTCTTGACCTTTTATTGGGAGTCCCTATGATTAAGGACCGGAGGACCGTATTAAGAGTTCGATAGTCAATAGCTCCAGCCGTGAGCGCTAAACTCATTGAATCCAGTTGGAGAGTTGAGTGGGTCAACGTCCTATATGTTCTGCTTGCAAGCGAGGATAGTCTTGGTCGGGTCCAAGCGTTTGCACTCCGCCACCTCTGACGATTCAGTTCAAAACATGCCGGTAGCCGTCTCGACGCAGTCTACACCATCTCAAACGGAGCAATTGATCCGGGTTACATCCGCAATCGCGCTCGAGCTCATCAAAGCGCACGATGCGGGTCAAACGGTGTCGCTGAATGAGATCCGGAATAAAATGAGCAAAAAATACAACTTTAGCGGAGTACCACGTCTCGTAGACATTATCAGCGCAGTACCAGACGAGTACAAAAAGGCCCTCTTGCCAAAGCTAAAAGCGAGGCCGATTCGGACTGCATCTGGGGTGAGTGGCAGCCCCTTCCTGAATGATTCCCGCCGGAGATGCGTTTAGCACGGTACTAACAGAGTTTATTTGTATAGATTGCCGTTGTTGCGGTGATGTGTAAACCCCATCGATGTCCACACATCGCCATGACAGGGAATATCTGCGTATATTGCCCAGGAGGACCAGATTCAGACTTTGACTACAGCACTCAAAGCTATACGGGATACGAGCCTACAAGTATGCGGGCTATACGTGCCCGATACGATCCATACGAACAGACAAAAGGACGAGTAGAACAACTTCGAAGCCTAGGCCATAGCGTTGACAAAGTCGAGTTTATTGTCATGGGAGGAACATTCATGTCGATGCCAGAAGACTATCGTAACAAGTTCATCGCCCAGCTACACAACGCTCTTTCCGGATATACTGGTCAAGATGTCGACGAGGCGGTCAGGTGGGATGCAATCAGTTGCTTCATCGAGTGTGATAATGAACTTGGATAGATTCTCTGAACAGAGCAAGTCCAAGGCGATCGGTATCACCATCGAGACACGTCCAGACTACTGCCTACGACCACACCTCTCGCAAATGCTCCGCTACGGATGCACGCGTCTCGAAATTGGAGTTCAATCTGTGTACGAGGATGTAGCACGGGATACGAACCGAGGGCATACAGTGCGAGCCGTGTCAGAATCTTTCCACCTCGCCAAGGATGCAGGCTTCAAAGTTGTTGCGCACATGATGCCTGATTTGCCCAACGTTGGCTTGGAGCGGGATTTGGAGCAGTTCAAGGAATATTTTGAGAATCCAGCATTTCGGTCGGACGGACTGAAGATTTATCCCACTTTGGTTATTCGAGGGACGGGGCTCTATGAGCTATGGAGGACAGGGAGGTACAAGAACTATACGCCCAACGTCTTGGTTGACGTGGTGGCGAGAATATTGGCTCTTGTACCGCCGTGGACGAGGGTTTATCGAGTGCAAAGGTGAGCTCATTTCAATCACGAGATGGTTGCTAACGTTTATAAGGGACATTCCTCTTCCACTGGTGTCGAGCGGCTGTGAAAACTCTGGAAATTTACGAGAGCTGGCCCTTCAGCGGATGAAGGACTTTGGCACAGAGTGTCGGGACGTGAGGTTTAGAGAAGTCGGAGTAAGTGATCTTGATTGTTTGTCTATCATTACTCATTTCTCTAGATACATGAGATTCACCACAAAGTTCGACCAGACCGCGTCGAGCTCATTCGAAGAGACTATACGGCCAACGGTGGATGGGAGACGTTCCTCTCGTACGAAGACCCGGAGAAAGATATCTTAGTTGGACTTCTTCGTCTTCGAAAGTGTTCCGATGAGGGTACATTCAGGCCGGAGCTCGTTCGAAGACCCGTGGTGGACGGAGAAGAGGAGGGTGGGTCGGTGAGCATCGTGCGTGAGCTACATGTGTATGGCACAGCCATCCCCGTTCACGGGCGTGATCCGACAAAGTTCCAGCATCAGGTACGTATAAACTTTGTCTGATTACCAGCTGACGGGGCCACAGGGCTTTGGCACCTTGTTGATGGAAGAAGCGGAACGGATAGCCAGAGATGAGCATGGTAGCGTCAAGCTTGCTGTCATCTCTGGAGTAGGGACACGGGATTACTATCGAAGACTAGGCTACGAGCTCGATGGACCATACATGTCCAAGTCTCTCCTATAGACTGAGTGTATTGCATCGCATTTTGAGCGCCAAGTTAACATCAAAGACCACAGTCTAGAGTCTGGACCTATATAAGCTAGACGGGTATGCTATCATAGGTTGGACCTGACGACAACAGTGACGACTTTGATCCTATTGCGATCTCCTCTACGAACGATCCCCGCATAATCCATTCTCGTTGTAATGCGCACAATTCTTGTCACTGGCGCAACAGGCCACCAAGGTCATGCTGTCATTTGCAGCCTGCTAAGGGAAAATGCGGCTCAGGGAGATCAACACAAGCACTTTAAGATTCTCGCCACAACACGTGATCCAGACTCACCAAGAGCAACTGCACTTCTAAGGAAGGGAGGCGGGCGCGTGGAAGTCGTCAGGTGCAATCTCAATGATGCAAATGAGGTCAATGGTCTATTCACAAAGTGTGGGCCACACTCTGGCAAGATTTGGGGCGTCTTTTGTGCATTGGTATTCCCTGGTCCGGGCAAGAGTGCAGTCGGCGAGGAGAGACAAGGAAAGGTGAGGTTTCCTATATCACAGCATATGAAGTAGAACTGATCACTTCTTTTAGACACTCATTGATGCTGCGATCAAGCACGGCGTTAGCCACTTTGTGTACTCATCCGTCGATAGAGGCGGTGAAGCACGGGATGATACCTTTACACTCGACAAGGCTGCCAAGGTCGCGATTGAAAGATACCTCAAGAAACGAACTGGGGAGGAAGGGTCGATGTCCTGGACGTATGTTGCGGTCACTTCATCTATATTGCTCTCACAACCCCCCCCCCAGTATCTTGCGACCTGGATTCTTTATGACCAACTTTGTTGGATCTGCGGGCAAAATTGCAGCTGCAGTGGTCCGTGAAGGACTCAAGCCATCGACCAAATTGGAACTTGTCGCCGTCGAGGATATTGGGGAGTTCGCCAGAGTGGTGTTTCATGTAGGCTACTCGTATAAGGCGATCTATCCTTTCTGACGAGTATCTAGGACCCGCAGAAATACTCGTCGAGATGCGTCGTCCTCGGCGCAGAGTGTCTCACGGCGGCTGAACGTGATGCGAGCTATGCTAGAGCGATGACGCCGCATAATACGGATAAAAACGTGAGCAAGAAGGACAAACCTAAGAATAAACAGCTTCCTTCTGCTTCTGGGATCCTCGCCCGTGCGCTCATACGCTGGAATGGATTCACCAGAGACCTGTACGTCTTCGCCTCTTAGCTTCCTTGTATCTCACCCATTGGGAATCTAGGTGCAAAGAGTTTGAACAGGCGTATACTGCGCATATGGAAATGAACAACGGAGATCCAGAGGCGCACTTGCGCGAGTTCCGAGAAGCGCTCACAAGCCCAGACGGACAGCCTCTCTGGACTACGTTCGAAATATTTTGTGCGCGAAACTTCCGGGGAGGGAGGCTCTATAGAAAAGAGAACAAAGAAGACTTCGAAGCTCACGGGGTCGGCAAGGATCTGGAGGGAATCGTCGCGACTGGGGCACTGAGCCAAGAGCAAGCCTGATGTAGTTCATTGCTTCATTTGACGGCAGGGTTGCCGACAACATATCCCCGAAATCTTATACCCTAGCAAAGGCGCTCTATATGCTCCATATGTACTATGATTTGATCTCTTGTAATATATACGTGATAGGTTAAAAAGGTAGCAGGCAGACAACCAAACCTTGAAGGACAAGTGGCAAATAAACCGCACAAGTGATGGGGACGAACCACGTCTTGAGAATGACAGCTTCCCAGAGTATCCTCCTCAGCCATCCTGAAATCGCAACGTCTGTCAATGTCGGATAGAGGGCACCCAACGACCTAGCGCATTGCAGTAAGCCCATCGGACTGATGAGCAGAACGAATGCCACCGCCGCTGGACGAAGAACCGGCTGAAGCTTGACAAGCTTGCTTACATTTTCTGTTATAGGTTGATCCAGTCGTACTGGAACAAGGCAGAGCGGCACTGTCGCGAGAACGGCAATAGTCACGCTCAAGCTAAAGTTGGCGACGGCAATAACAGAGATAACGACGCCAAGACAGCATAGGTTGAGTGCCTTGAGTAATGCTGGCGTTGTTGGCGGTAAAGGCCGAATCGCAAAGGAATAGACTCCAACAGCGAGGAGGAGAAGCACGGACGGCACGCTGACGATCCCGATTGCGAGCGACAAATCAGCCTCCTACAGCCACGTTAGGTTCGAGTCAAAAAGAGCCCAGGAAAAGGCTAACCTGTACAAGAGCCCAAAACCAAGCCTGATGAACGATGGCGAGCGTGGCGATACCGACGAGATGCGTCGCACCCATGATACACAAAACTTCCAGTACGGGTCTGTCCCGCATATGCCAGACCAGCTTTCCCTCATCATCTTCGTCGTCCTTCTCTGACCGCTCTTCGTGCTGAATCCACCCTGTTTGGACATAGAGATGGAGCCCTCCAAAGCTCGCTGCGAGACCGAGGATAATAACCGGTGGTAAGTAGCGTGCAAACTCTGCAAACTCGCTGGGTGCGGTGAAGAGGTAGAAGAAGAATGATGCATGGAGGCGTTCGAGGAGATTATTTGTAGTTCGAAGAAGCGATTCTATCACTCTGACAAGGATCAATGAGGTAAGAAGTGGAAAATAAAGGAATTTACCTTCCGAGGGAGTGGAAGCCATGAGGCCCTGTTGCAGGAACGGTGTAAAGCGTGATTGCATCGATGCGATACCTAAATAGTCTTAGGGGCTTTATAATTTGCACATATTCAACGAACCGGTGGAAAAGACCATGAACGCCGCTTGGTTCTCCAATGGCCTGATAAGAGACATGGCGTCCAATGTTTCGGACGCGGCGTACATAATCGGGCAGATCTGAGGACTTGATCAGAATTGCAGACTTGCCAAAGGTATCACCCACTAATGTCAAAGAGGTCGGCAAGCGGTTGCAAAATTGCGGGTCCGCGGTGGATTTGATCATCCTTGTGATCGTACAGCACGAGTGGTACACCCATATTTCGAGAGATGACAGATAGGGAATTCGACAAGTCTTGGTTGGGGAGGCGACCATTTGTTCCCTCTGCCAACTAGTCAATTTTCAAGTAGAATGAATCAGAATGATGTCGCACCAAAGAAGAGGCCAAGGTGACTGAAAGAGTGCCCTGGATAATCTATTACGAGGGCGGTCCAAATAACGCCCGCAGGTTCCGGATCATTGAGAGGCTGAGCGACGAGGCCTACCGAAAGTGAGCATTCAGCGAAGAGAATTGAATGAAACGCACCTTTTGACTGGACCCATGATATTCACTCAGCCAGGCGTGTGCTCCATCCAGATACGAGTCGGACACGAGAAATATGAGATCTTTTGCCCAGACTGACTGGCGACGAAGGTTATTTGCTAGTGACAACACAGTCGCTATTCCTCGAAGATTTGGCTGTCGCTTCTGACCTTCGTCTTCACGAGAAATCCATGAGGCCACGATGACTATGGCCTCTGCTCCAGACGTGCGAGGGGACCGGAACGTTCCATATGCGTTGACACCGGCAAAGTCCTGTATTCATTATTCAACCGTCCAGCGCTAACGGTATTCACGTACGCCAGTAGGAGTCGAGAAGGTGTATTGTTGAGTCGCCGACGCAATGCCCAGCTCACGAAACTGGGAAGAAATAAACTCTGCACGTCTAAAGAGCGAAGATTGGAGTTGTCAACGATTATTGCGACACTTTGCTTGAAAATACATACTCTGCGCTGGATGCATTTCGTCTCCACAAATCCTCCAATAAGCCGAGCTTGATGTCTGCAAATCTAACATCTGCCCAGCTCCAGTCAACGTTTACTTGTCCGGGCTGGAGCGCATTCTCGTCTATCCATGTCCGCCTGCTGAGTCCGTCCCAAGGCAGGAGCAACAACCATCCAAAGCCGACGAGGAAAAGGAGAACACGAAGAGGAACAAGTCTGTCGATTACTTTTGAGATGATTCTTGTACGTCGTTCTATTCGTTTGCGATGTGAAGCCAGCTCTTTGGCCGACATTGTCGAGTTCCAAGACTTGAACTCTACCCGATTTTTCAGAATGTCCCGGCCAGAAGACCAGGGGCCAGCTGAACTCGTATGGACCCTATCGTGGGTATTGCAATGGCTTACTCAGGGATTTTAGTACTATGGCGATGCAGAAGCACAGAAGTACACGAACAAGTACAGTCAAATCATCTGAATTGGACCAGTTTGCTGATCTTATTCAATTTTTAGCTCCAGAATACAGAAAATCCAAGCAGAAATGACACACCGAGCCTTGGAACTTTTGGCCTTGCCACCCGACCAACCCCTCTTTCTGCTCGACATTGGCTGCGGCTCCGGTCTTTCAGGGGAAATTCTCGACGAGCTGGGATATATTTGGGCGGGTGTCGATATTGCCCCTAGTATGCTCCGTGTGTTTCCGTTCGGTGCCTCGTATTCTCATCTAACACTGCAATGAGACAGAGGTCGCTTTGGAGAGAGAGGTCGAAGGGGATCTATTCCTTCAAGATATCGGTCAAGGGTTTGGATTCCGACCCGGTAGCTTTGATGGAGCAATCAGGTAAAAGGCTGCATTCAGTCTCAAACGGCACCGCTGACGCGCCTATAGTATCTCTGTACTACAGTGGCTTCTCACCTCCCCATCTTCACATCCCAACGATACCCCGCCTGCACGCTTGACGCGCTTCTTCACGACACTCTACGCCGTACTTCGGAATCCCTCTCGTGCAGTCTTTCAGTTCTATCCTGAAACCGATGATCAGATCACATTGATCACTACTATTGCGCGAAAAGCCGGCTTCGGTGGTGGAATTGTCGTCGACTATCCCAATTCACGCAAGGCACGCAAAGTGTTCCTCTGTCTCATGGTTGGCAGTGGTCGATACCCCGGGGCAAATACGGAAGAATCCAGCAGTATGGACGTCGATAATGAAGGCTTACCACGAGGTCTCAATGGCGAAGATCCCAACGAGGAGAAACGAAATGTCACATTTGAACGACGGCGAGCTCGTGAAAGACTCCATGGTAAGAAGAAGAAGAAAGGCGGGATTGACAAGGAGTGGATTTTGAAAAAGAAAGAGGTTCGTTTCCCCGCAAAGGTCATGGCCACTCCTGAGCGCTTGAACAGTTGTATCGCCAAAGGGGCAAACAAGACGTTCCAAACGATTCCAAGTACACTGGTCGCAGACGCAAGCCGGTATTTTGATCCGACGGACGATGACTTGAGGGCACTAGGCCCCCTCTGTATACAGCCTTTACCCATTTTTCAACCTTGGCGCCTCTTTTTTATCGGTTTCAGTCCCCCGCCGACCAACTCGAGTGGCGTACGCGAGAGGCCGTTCTCATTCCGAGCAACGTCTACGAGGCCCAATTCAAAAGATAATGAGTAGGAGGACCTGAATCATCGCAATTTTGCTGTGCCTTGAATGTACGCCAGGCTCGCATTCCCTGTAGCCCACCCCGTCCATGTACGCAAGTCCGACGGAGACCGGTTTGTCAGGGCGCGCTGTTCCACCTTGACCTATGTCCTTTCCGGCGCTGTGACCATAAAAGCGACAACTATCACTCTCGCCTTGTAGCTATCATCTTTTCTTTCTCTCATTCATGTTTTCTTTCTTTCCTTCCAAGTTGAACTCACGTCGCCAACGGTCAGCCATTATTGCCCCGTCTTTCTCGCTGCTGACGAATACCAGGGTTCGCAACTGCAGTCAACCTGCCCTTTCTTCAATAGATTCAGATGCACGATCTTCTGCTTCAATCTGCTCGAGCCCAGACGATGCTCCCCCATTGCCTGACTCCCAAGAATACCGAAACGCATACACCAAGTTTCTCATCAACTACCCTCAATATACCAAGACTCGACCATTAGATACGCTAAGGGAGCAAGAATTTACTCGGCTGACCAACAGCAAGATTGTCTACATGGACGCCACCGGTGCAAGCCTTTACCCAGAGTCGCTCGTCCGTGGGCACTTGCAGCTACTTTCTCAAACTGTCTTTGGAAACACCCACTCCGATAGTCCTTCGTGAGTCGGGTTTCAGGTATTCTTTTCATTCTGCTGATGACCCTGCACAGATCTCGAGAGTCCGAGGTTCAACTCCGCGCAGCACGGAGTGCAATCTTATCATACTTCGAGGCACCAGAGTCCGAGTACGTTTGCATATTCACAGCAAATTGCACTGGTGCCCTCAAGCTCGTTGGGGAGTCGTACCCTTTCACCTCGAACGGTCGGTTTGTTCTTGCCGAAGACAGCCATAATAGTGTCAACGGGATTCGAGTTTTCGCCGAGCGCGCCGGGGCATCAGTACATTATGTTCCTTCGACCCGCTTTGGGGGCTTTGACGAGATGTCCATGCAGGTATGGCACTGCTTGTTTGTGGGGGGCCATGTGAACAAATAGCTAATCCAACCTCGTAGGAGGCACTCAAGGGCAGTCCATCTGGTGCTTCTCTCGTGGCGATTACTGGCCAATCCAACGTCACGGGATATCGTCCACGCCTCGTAGAAGTGGTGTCAAGCGCCAAGAAGGCAGGCTACGACGTTCTTTTGGATGCCGCGGCGCTTGCGTCTACGGCACCGATATCCTTGGGCTCCACATCTGACAAAGGCAAGGGGCTCAGGGGCCGAGTGGACGCGATGGCGATCAGCTTTTACAAAATGTTTGGATATCCGACTGGTGTTGGGGCGCTCATTGCTCGCAAAGACTTTTTGGAGAGGCTGAGAAAGCCGTGGTTTGCAGGCGGAACCGTCGAGGTGGTTGGATTCCCAACTGGTGTGACGGAGACGGCCGTCCAATGGGAGCGATTCGAAGAGGGTACCACGAATTACACAAGCATCTCTGCCATCCCAAGGGGTTTAGGCATTTTATCCCCGTTTGTCAAAGGAAAAGATCCGGTCCTCCCACTCCGACTATCAGCCCTTCACAAATGGCTACACCGCGCATTGCAATCTATCGTACACAGCACTGGGCTTCCCGTCGTCCACATACTCACCATGGATCCGGAGCATATAAACCCTCAGTCCGACTCGATGGGCTACATCCTCTCGATGACCTTCCACAACCGATATGGTATTCGAATTCCCAATTGCGTAGTCTCGCAACGTGCCGACAAGTGTGGTCTCTCGCTTCGGACTGGCTGCGTCTGCAACCCAGGAGGCGTGATTGCCATCATGAATCTACGCGACAAGTTGTGGATGCTCGAAGGTGGACTGAGATACCAAGAGATTGAAGCTAGGATGGGTGTGGATGCTGGTGTCGTCCGTCTCAGTCTTGGGATCACCAGCTCATTCCGCGATGTCTTTGAAACTGCGCAGTTCGTGTCAACATTTGTAGAGTAGTCGGAAGAGATTAGCTATATCTCTGATTTTTAAAATATCTTATTATATAGGGCATCTGGCATTGCGCTCCTCAGCCGGTTGTCGGCGCTTGAAACCGCTTTGACCTCGACCACCCTTTTGTATTACATAATCACGGCCATGGATGCCTCTGCAGCGCTTGCCGAGGCTCTAATGGTTCCTCCAATAATCTCAGAAATCGATACAGCGGGCCTTGCACTCCTTTCGCAGGTCCTGATGGACGAGCCCGCCGATTCAGCAGACGCTATCATTTCAATGCCTTTACCGGAGCCACTTCCGCCCGAAAAGGACACTTTAAACGTTGCCAAACCGATAGGAAGCGAGGAAAAGGAGCACATCACTGTGGTCACAGCGGAAACGACAGAACCACTGGCCTTTGAACCCATCTCTGGGTTATTGCCACCAGCTACTTTGGAGGACGTCGGTGACTTGGCTGCGAAAGATGAATTCGCAGTCGAAGAGTCGCTTGGAGATGAGAAAATGGCTAAAAATCCACTCTCAACTCTTCCAGCGGCTCAGGGCGGTGACATAGCCGCTTATTTCGCCTTGGAATTCCTCGACCTGCAGTACATCTACTATCTACAACGTTCTTCCGTGTCTCTTGGACGATCTTCCAACGATTCGTCTGGGACAGCCGCCGACATCGACCTCGGACCTTTGAAGAACATTTCGCGACTTCACGCTCGCATCGAGTATGAAGAGGAGCTCGAGCGATTCGTCCTTGCCGTCGTCGGTAGAAATGGCGCGTTTGTCGACGGAAACTGGTACGGTCCTGGCAAACGAATACCCTTGGGCAACGGGTATGTCCACAAAGCTATGTATTTTATGAGAAGGATCGCTGACTTGGACTTGTTTTATAGTACCCTTATTCAAATTTCGACTCGCACGTTTCATTTTTTACTCCCTCATAGCAACACACCTTCGGCCTCTGGCGATGGCAATGTGGAAAACGATATGGACAACGAAGTGCCGGCTCTGGACAGCGCCGTTACCACTGTTGACGACGATTCGCATTCAACCAACGCATCTGCCACTCCAAAACAGGGAGTCGTCATTCCTGAGCATGAACCCGACGAAGAGGATGATCTTGCACTCGACGAAGAAAATGCTGCGCTGGATCAAATGGAGTTTTACCGGTCGCTTAGTGGCAAAGGGAAGGGAAAGGGCAAAGGAAAGGCACCTACAGCTCCTCCCAAGCGAGGAAGAGGTCGTCCTCGCAAGTCGTCCACTGCGACCAAAGTGAAACCAGCACCAGCATCGTCCTATACATACGACGACGAAGAGGAAGTCGACTTGCGCGCTGCTGATATGGACGACTTTGAGAGCGAAATTGATGACGAGGACGATCGAGACGGGGACTTTGTGCCCAAGCGCACAAAAAGTGGTGGCCGCCGGCGGGGAGGACTGGGCAAAGTGAAGAGTGGGACAACTGCCAGAGCTGTTCGGACATCGGTCGACGCGGTGGAGGTCAAGGACGAGGAAATGTCTGACGCTGAAATCGATCAACTTGATGAGGCAGACGAGTTACAGGAGAATGATGCCGGAACTGAAGCGCTTTCTCCGACGGCAGAAAAGAAGTCTGCTCCCAAAAGAAAGCGAGAACTCGTTGATCTCGATTTTGAGGACGTGCCCCTTGGCAAGCGCAGACGCACGGCGAGTTCATCTGCGCCCACAGAGGCCAATAAAGCGCCAAAGCAGCCCAAGGGTCGAAAGAAGGGATCTAGCAAGCCAGAGATGAAGAGCCTCTTCACGACCACTCCCGCACCTCTTCCGTCGGCATCAGCAGCAGCGAATGCAGAAAATGGCGAGGCGGATCTGGGCGACAAGGCCAAGGGAGGGAAGAAAGGCAAGGCCATCGCGAAGAAAGGCAAGAAGACGACTGGGAATGGAACTGAAGATCAAGATGAGCTCAAAGAGGACGAATCAGAGTCGAAAGAGGTCAAGGAAGAGCCAAAACCGACAGGACCGCCACCGCCAAAGCCACCGTTTACGTATCCATTACTATGCTATCGAGCTCTCAAGGTAACGTCGTAATGACTACTCTTGTCACTTTTGCTGATCCACTTCGAGGCTTTGAATGGCAAAGCTCCATATCGTGCTATCACCAAATGGCTAGAAACTGAGTATCCTTATTTTGCTGCCGCAACAAGAGACGGGAAGGACGGGTGGGAAAACTCGACTCGACACACCTTGTCCTCACATCGAGCGTTTATCAAGATTGATAGAAAGCCCGAAGAACGTGGCAAAGGCTGTTTTTGGAGCTTTGACCCCGAGTTTGAGGAGCAGTTCAAGGACCAATGGAGGGCATCCGAGAGCCAGGCTCGTAACCCAAGACCTGGTCCTCGACCACCAAATCCTCCTCCGCCGTTTCAAGGAGCGCCTGGCATGTACCCAAGACCCCCATTTCCTGGACCGCCTCCCATGGGTTGGCAAGGAGTCACCCCGCCGCACTTGATGCCTGGATATCGACCGATGCCACCAGGCGTTCCAGGCCCTGCGTATCCATATTCATCTATGCCTCGTCCTCCAGGCATGATGCCGCACCCCCTTGGTCCACATCCACCCCCTATGCGCCCGATGATGGGACCTCCTCCGCTTGGTGGACCCATTCCGCCCGGCGCCAGCGCCGCAGCTGCGAAAGCTCGAGCACCCAAGAAGTCAAAGGCGGCATTGGGAGCGGCATTCAGCCGAGCTCCGCTAATACGGCCTGGACTTGGTGGTGTACCGTCCAAGCCTGGTGAATCCTCCACGGGAGATGGTGGCGTAGATGAGCTCGTACTCCGAGGCGAGCATATCATTAGGATGGCTACTCGTGCGGCAAAGGATGAGCTCTTGGGACGTGCTCCCCCTGGAATGGGTATCGCGGTTGCTACAGGTGGTTGGGGAGTTGGAGGTTTCCCACCTCCTATCCCAGTTCATGGCGCGAAGGGACCAGGAAAGCATCCAATATCCAACGCTAGGCCGACTGCGAGCCAAAAGATCAAGTTTGTCTTATCGGAACCTCCCCCAGAAGCTCCTGTGCCCATGGCACCCCCTGTTCCGATGAACCAGGCGAAGCCTGATGCATCAGATGGTGGTGAAAAGGAAAAGCCTGTACCAAGACCCCTGGTCGTCCCACTCCTTTTTTTCAGCGGCACGTTGTACATCAACCCGAAGGCGTACTCGCAACTGGACGAGGAAGACGTCACAAAGATGAACGGCATGACATTCGCAGATGCAATGGCACATGTCATGGCCAAATGTGCTCCGATTCCTGCGCCTTCGCGAACCCCAGCGCCGAACACCAAAGTCTCTGGGGACAAGGATGAGGAAAAGGAGGAAGACGAGGACGAGGCCTCTCAATCACCCATCGTAGACTCCCCTGCTGACGATGGTGAAGGATTCTTGCGACAGCTTCCAACTTGATGCTTGATGTCTTCGCATATTGCTGGCATTCTGCACTTTGCTATTATGCTGGGTACTCTGTATTATCATAGTCTGTAACACTAGTGCTAGACTGATACTTTACTATCGGAGATTTCCTTTTTGGATGCGGCACTAAACGAAGGGCGCGCCCTTTGGCGCTGCAAACTTTGGACCCGACTTGTTGATTGTGAGACACTATTGGTCCCCGCTGAGCCGCCAACGCTGGTTCGGATGATTTCCAGTCGAACCTGATATCTCATATTCAATTTGGGTCGCGTTTGCTGGTCCATGCTTGGTCAATTGCAGGCTGTAACACAAACAGCACATCATACAAACTAGACTTGTCACCAAGCCATTATTGATGAATAGCGACGCGTCAGCCGAAACGCGTACGCCTCAGTCGTGTTGTGCTCTTCCTCAACTTCCCCCACGACTTTGCTTCGATGGCACCGCTCAGGATTAGACATCCAAAAGGGGTATCCACGATAGATATTGACCTGGAGAGCGGAACTGTTCTCGAGCTTCAGCAAGAGATTCGTAAAGTCACTGGAATTCTTCCATCTTTACAAGATGGTGAGTGCAGTCTCTTCTATCTCATTTTCCTATTCTATCCCTATATTATATCAACCTGTTTTCACTAAACTTATCCTTTTTCGTGCTGGCTCCTTTACTCTCACGTCATCCGATCAGTCAAGACTGGATTTCCTCCACGGAGTATCACGCTCATCTCAGAATTGCCCATTGCATCACTCGGTCTCCAACGAGGGGATCAACTGATCATCGGAGAGCTCAAGGCCACCCCAACGTCTACAGCGCCAGCCCCTCAGCCACAACCGATAGAACGGACAATAGCTTCACAGGGAACGGTCAGAAAGGGAGAAAATGCTCCTCCACGGCCTCAGCCAGCACCAAAGACAATTCCTACGCCAGCTCAGCCAGTCCCGACTGCCTCTTCGTCAAGTACATCGCGCGCTGCGCCTCCTGTAATTACACCAACCCCTACTGTCCTGGGGCAAGGTGCACAAGGAGACGAAGTGGAGACTGATTCTGGTGTCGTTGTTCATCGGATAGTACCCGATGACAACTCGTGTCTCTTCTCCTCGGTGGGAATCGTTCTGGAGCAAGATATGGGCAAGGGAGCGAGCCTAAGGCGCGGTATGTCTTAGACTTCCTTCTACTAAGATAATATATACTGACCTCGAATAAAGTGGTCGCGGACGCCATTATGAAGAACCCTATCAAGTATGACGAAGCCACCTTGGGGTGAGTTTTCAATTTAGGTTCAATTACAAATTCTGATTCAACCAAGACGCTCAACGGATGACTATATCAGGACTATCCTCAAGCCGTCCACATGGGGAGGAGCGATCGGTTCGTGATTTTAGTCACATAACGCCTCAGAAAACTTAGGCGTTGCAGAGCTCTCGATCTTCTCGGACTATTACAAGACGGAAATCACGAGCATAGACGTCGAAACGGGAAGGTGTGATCGCTTTGGAGAGGGTCAATATGTGAGTCCTTCCGTCGGTTTGTCCCGTTCTCATGATTGACATGCTCGTAGGCCAGTCGAGTTATCCTCCTATACTCTGGGATTCATTACGACGCCGTCTCCCTGGCCCCAATTCCAGATGCTCCTCTTGACTTTCATACCACCATCTTTCCAGTAGAAGATGAGGCGATCCTCCAAGGTGCACTCAAGCTCGCAACCGTTCTCCGAGGCAAGAAACAGTTTACCAATACGGCAACGTTCGATCTGCGCTGCGAGATTTGCAATGTCGGACTCAAAGGGGAGAAGGGAGCACGAGAGCACGCTACTCAGACGGGGCACACCGCGTTTGGAGAGTATTAGTTGTTGGTACGGTCTGCTTTCATGCAATATTCGAGTGAAGTAACAACTATAACTAAACCGGCATCATGAGGATACTGACTTGATGACTCTGTGAACTGCACGACCGAGTTGGACGAGTGGGTTTGCATGAGATGCAACTCCGACGGTCACTTGTGCTTTGGCCTTTTCATCGGCAGGGAATGCGAGGGATAAGATGCGATCCGAATGTTCGACTATCTTTGGGTAAAACTCGTCTAGCAGTGCGGGTATTGGGTTCTTTGCTGTCTGAGCATTGCGGAGGAGGAGTATGCAGGCAGCAACCTGGCAGTCAAGAGGAGTGACTCTGCATCACACAGTCATTAACGCGAGAGACCTCAAATGGAGCATGCATACTGTTTCGAAAGGAAGAACGCATGATGCGCCAGTAGCGGGTTGAGAAGATCAAAGGTTTCGCGGGCCTTTTCTAGCAGCTATAAGTTATCAGTGTATTGATGATCTGCAAATGATGAGCAGCCGACCTTTTCCTTCCCGAATGCTTCATTAATAATCTTGTCCTTTTCGTCAACAATAGTCTTGGGCTTGTCAAAAGGTCGTTTCTTCTCCTCCATTCCATCGTTTTCGTCGTTCTCTTGTTGGAGATTCCACATGCCTGCGGGCTCGAGCGTCGCACGAATCTCCTCCCTCAGTCGCCGAGGGAGGTAATATCGAGCAGGTACTGGAAGAAGCGTCGCGAGGACTTTATGGACACCGACTCGATAATTTTCTGGATTCGCATACAGAACCGCGTTCTAGACCAAGCCTCAAAAACCCTCCATCAAAGGTATTTCCAATCACTCACTGTGAGGTCCTTGAGTCGTGAGTCTACATATGCAGACCACGCTGTCCGCTTTACACTCGCGATATCGTCACCTGCCTCTTCGCCTTGCAACTTTTGGAGGTATCGCAAAATCGAGCGCGCAGTACCAATTTCTTGACCCTCGTGTCTGAGAAACGGAAGACTACATGTTGGTGAAACGTCTGGGTCGGTACATTCGACGAGCGCATAACTTTGCTGGCCGTTTGCACAGAGAAGTTGCAAGTACAAGACACAAGCAAGCGAGTCGACGTCAAAAGAAGGAAGGCTCCAGCTATGGGGCCATATGTAGAGAGTTATCTCAGTGTTATGGGACATTCCAGGCCTCCGGAACAGAAAAGTCGAATGTTGTCGGGATTCAAGCTGGTTTTCAAAGGGAACTCAGGCAGCCTTTGGGGATCACCATGATTCTATTAGCACAGGAATATAAGTAAAGGGATGTGATCTTTCAGAAAGCTAGCGTGGAATGGCTATGTAGCGACGGTCTCAGAGGTTGACGCTACTGGGGCTGTCTTGTTCTTCGAGCGACCCCATTTCACACCTACAATGCTTCCATCCCAGTCTAATCCATTCGCCCATGCTTCGGCAGCGCGCTCTGCAGCATTGCGCGATGTAAAATTGACAAAGGCAGACCTGGGATAACCTTGTTAGCAGCTGATCAATGTAACTGTTAGACGCTTACTTTGTCTTGGCAACGTGAACAATTGATCGAATGTCTGAGGGCGAAAGGAAAGGAAGGGCTTGTACTACACGAGTTCGTATCGAGTCTTCCGTGGCGTCTTGAGGGAGGGGTGTGAGGAAAAGAGATTGCTTAAATGCGGTCAGTTATTATATTCAGGTAACAGATAGATAACATACCACAGAAGGATCATCCGGCGGAACAAGACCTTTGGAGGCTGCGTAGTTGGAGAGAATCTTCTTCGCCACGGGATCGTTCCTGCCGTGATATCTGTCCTTGATGTTCTGCTTCGCCATGGGGTCGTCCTTGTCTGTAGGCATTTCATGTCTGCCGAGAGGTGAGCAGGAGCCAAGCGGTGTATGGACAAGGAGACTGACCTGTATGGACACTCTGCACCACGATTACACTGCCCTTTGACAAAGAAACTACAGATATGCGGTCGATTTCGCTTATAGTATGGGTCAGAACGGGCGAGTTGCTGCAACATCTCCTTTGTCGCAGAGCCAACACGACCGGTCTTCATTAATGATTCATGGGGGGCAAGCTGTGAAGACAGTCAATGTTTCATCGAAGAGAGCATGGCGACAAACGTACTTTTCCTTCAGCATTTTGGGCGTACCATTCTCTGTTGATCTCGCTGGTCGGTGCTTCGCTTCGAACAGCAAGAGCAGTGTCACGAGCTTGGACTGGGAGGCCAAACTCGAGGTCCAAAAGGCAAGTTTGGCAAATATTTTTAATCTGGGTGAGGCAACACAGTCGTGGTGAGCTTATTGCGAGTTGCTAATCCATGACAAGCGTACCTTTGCACACGTTTGGCAAATAACAGTCATCTTAAACCGACCGCCCTCTCCAGGGTTCCATCGGAAAACAGTAAATGGCCTAGCGCATGTCCCGCACTCCCTGCCAAACTCTTGCTTAGACTATAAATGTATGAGCATGATAATTATAACATTAAACGATAATTTACCATTCGAACGAATGGATTAGGACCTAGACCTGGGCATATGGTCAGCAAGGCAAGCCGAGAACGCTAATGAACAAGGTATGAAACAGGATGACACCTACATGTTTCACAGAGGATAGGGAAGTCACTCTGCTCCCATCCAGCCTTGTTGAGATCGGCTTTCGGTGGCATTATGACAGTCGCCCAAGTGAAGAGAAGATTGAAATGTCCGAGAGAAACTTGAGAAAAGAATCAAATGCTTTTAACGCTGACTTTTAGCGACTGGCAAGAAAGGCTGGACAGAGTCGAGGTCAAAGTTGTCGCTGACCATTCCCGGCGTCAGTATCTGTTATGAGCTCTGGCGAGTAAACGAATTCATTATGACTTTGGATACTGCGTAAGGGCATGACTAAAAATCATATCGGAGCACTTGTATTACGCCGGGAATCCCCGAGGCTTACATAAGGTCAAGCCACCGATATGATCGTCTTCACATTCCGCGCTATCCAATTTCTACTCCCCACGGACAAACTCGTAGATGAGAATCTTCCCGCTTCCAGTCGCAAACGCCACGCGCCCTCGAGCATCGTCAAAGTCTACGGTATTGAACCCTCCATACTTTCTAGCCATGTCTGCAGAGAGTTCAAACTCGCATATGTGACCAGACGTGGCCAGAGGCCGTTCAGGAGCTTCAAGCTGTCGATCCCAAATTACTTCCTGTGCATCCTCCTCCAGTTCTTCTTCGTCGCCCTCTAAGTGGGAACCTTGGTTACTCGAGCTTGTTTCCGTTGATTCAGAGCCATGGCTGTGACTGTAAGTCGACGAAGAACCGCTCTCGTCCATGGTGTGGTTCTCGTCCACTTCCACAGTGGTGCTGAGGGGCGTAGATGAAGCAGCCGAATCCGGTTCTAGGGGTAAAGCTGCGTCTGCGAATGTCGCAAAGCACATTTTGTAGTTCTGGAGAGGTATTGTATCGCCACTAGGTGCAGAGCCGTCGTCCTCCATCCATACGGCGGCTCTCCCATACGTCCCCGTTCCGTACAAGTTCCAGTCTCCGTGACAGGCGACAGAAACCTGACCAGCGACCGTTCTTGATATACTCCTCCTTGCTTCAATAAGCGCCTCGTTAGGAGAGTTGAATCTCGTGTCCAAAGTGGCCAATGTAAGATAGTCTCCCTGGGCTGATCCTGCAGCAGACAAGCGGCTGAACACGCCAAGTCTACCATCTGCTAGACTTTTACAAGTAGGAAAAGACATATCGGACAGGTCCCATGTGTCTACTTGGAAGGTAAACACCTTTCGAATGGCGTGAGGAAACTCGGTCGCGGGGCTTGCATCACCAAGGTACTTGCAAAGATGATCCAGGTTGTAGGAGTAGTAAATGGCAAAGCCAGATCGTTCTGCATAGAAAAATAATTCGGAATCCGAGGTGGCTGCGGAAAGTGTGGCAGGGAGCTGCGAAGTCGTGAGTACAAGCCATCAAACGAAGACCTAGTGCTCACTCTGAATCCAGTTTCGAACTGAATCTCTTTAAGTGTCTCTCGGTCGACGAGATAGACATAGATGATCCCGTCATGGGTGAGGCCGACGCATCCCATTTGTTTGTTACGAATAAAGTTGGCCCTCACATCACCTATCATCTGCCTTCGAACCAAAAGAGCAATGGTAGCGGTTCTCCACGTATATCGCCATACACGAAACGTCTCTACGGCGCTGGGCGAGTTGTGAACAGGTCGCCTTTTGACAAGAGTTCCACTCACCCGTTTTCTATCTCACTGTTGACAAGTAGCGTGATTCCTTCTTCATCTATCCAACAATCCCAGCATAGGGGTGCGCCCATTACATCGATGGAAAGGACAATCTGCTTTGTCGTAAGATTCCATAGCCGCATTATACCTCCAAGGGACATGGAAAGCATATGAACGGCATCGTCTAGCATCCATGTCCACAAGACAGGTTCTATGCGTCGCTTCCAGTCAACCACCGACTTTGTCAGCTCAAAGGTGAGACTGTTTTCCTCTACAAAGATCTCTTCGGGACACTCTGGTAGCTCCAAGGTCCATATTTTTTTAGGTTCAGGCAATTTGTCGTCTTTGAGGATACGATCAAAGGCGGAAACGTCTTGCAGAAGGCACTTAATCTCCTCGGTGGAACTGTGCTGAAAGTTGCGCAGGACGGGTGCCCTGTGGGTGCTTGTCTGCAGATATAAGATACGCCTCCAGAATGATCTCGACGCAGTCAACTTCCAGAAGTTACGCGATGTCTAAATTCTTATGAGCGCTGAGGATAGATGTCGTCGGTGATGGCTCACTTGCGCTAGATTGATGGAATCAACAGTTGTGGGTACATTGAGTAATATTTCGAGTAGAACTTCCTCAGGAAGATCCAATAGGCCAGTCATGTTCGAAGTGAACAGGAGCAAGGAACGTTACCACCTGTGTCGGAGGTGTGTCGTCCTTTTAGAGGGTTTCAATGACAGCAATGGATCTTATCTGTAAGTCAGAGACTGGTTGAACGGTCCGTCAGTAATAGAGGGGTGGAGAGCCTGGGGGCACATAAGCAAATTTACTGATAATCTTACGCGAGCGAGTCAGAAGAGCATAAATACCTTGTGATTGGATAGTGTTTGGATGTTTATTACATCCCCACTATGGGCCAATTGTATTGCATACTCGCCAGTCTGCGTAGACAACTTTACCGCAAGATTTGCCAACAGGCGCAGATAAACTCTACGTCGCCGGCGGCATGGTCTCTGGCGTGGTAGTGTCAGTAAGGTGGCAAATTCTAACCAAGCTGTTGAATTCCACGATGACGTACTATGTTCCACCCTCTAATTATGCGGCCTGACAGACGCCGGCTTGGTCTTTGGACCTGTCCATCTCGCAATGGCAACTCAGAACTCAGCAAAATCAAAGGGCAAAAGCAAAAGTCGTTGGAGATTCTTGCGTTACGCAATAAGGTCATCAAGCAAGAAGCACCAAATGCAAAACACGGATAGCATCGCACCGGATGTAGTGATAAACGTAGTCGAGGCATCAGATATACTCGTGCCCCTCAAGGAAGCCCGCAGAACAACAAAGTCAATCATCGACCTCAAGCAGGTAAGTGGACGAGCCTAACACAATAATCTCGTCTGATGAACCTGATAGGCACTCAATGATAATCAGGGAGACTAAAGCGATCTGGTACAGCGTTTGGAAAAACACATGTCCGCTATTGAGCACCAAATCGACACTCTGGAGAAATATCCTCCAAAGGGTCGGGCCGTCGATGAAGCGAGATCGACCGAGGGTAAGCGAGTATTGTCTACGAGAAATCCACTCAAGTTTTCCAAAGTCGAAGCGTCTTTTATATATCAGCTCCCAATGGTGGCATTCCTCCGATGCTCGGTCCACGGCACCTGCCTTCAAGGAACACGTCAAGCCGTTCTCCAGACCGTTCATGATTGGGGCTGAGGACGAATCCTCGGGAAAACCAATATTCTGGCTTGTGATATAGCTGGGTCTGGGAAGATCACTATCACAATGTCGGCAGCGGCGTCGTGGCGCGCGGAGGGAGCACTAGGAGGCCAATTTTTCTTCTCAATGGCGAACATTGATACGCCAAACACCGAAAAATTCTGCTCAACTATGGCTAGAGACCTCGTGCAACAAATCCCAGACGTCGCGATGCATGTAGCGAATGCGGTGAAGCGGAACCCTTCCGCAATCTCAGCTGACGGCTCAAGAATTGCCTCTAGCTCTCAAGCTTGTACAATTCGATTATGGGATGCGGAGGCTGGTCAGGCGCTGGGGAGGCCTCTTCTAGGGCATATCAAATGCGTCCAAGGTGTTGCATTCTCACCCTACGGTTCGCAATTTGTCTCTTGCTCGGGTGGCCACACAGTTCGACTATGGGATGCAGAGACCGGGCAAACGTTGGGGGCTCCACTCCGAGGCCATAAACATTGGATCCATACTGTCTGATTCTCGCCAGATGACTCGCGAATCATCTCTGGGTCTCAGGATTTTAGAATTCGATTATGGGATGCGACCACTGGCCAGTCGGTGGGAGAGCCACGACGAGGGTATCGAGCCGCCGTCCAAGCAGTCGCATTCTCACCAGATAGCTCAAGGGTTGTCTCTGGCTCTCAAGGTCGTACAATCCGACTACGGGATGCGGAGATTGGCCAGACGCTGGGAGTTCCGCTTCGAGAGCATACAAATTGGGTCCTGGCTGTCGCATTCTCACCAGACGGGTCACAAATTGTCTCTGGATCGACAGATCGTACTATCCAAGTGTGGAATGTGGAACTTTCCGAGTCATTGGGGCCTGTCCAGCCATTGGGACCTGTCTATTCGTTTAGGGTGGCACTTCCCGGACAAGGCGACTTAGAGTTAGCCGTTCATTTCATAATCCCAAACCCTCGAGGCTCACCTCGGACTCTGAAGATTGCATAATTGAGGAAGAAATTGATGGTAATAGCCCATGGAACACTTTTCCTGGTTAGTTTGATTCACATTTGTCTTTGTTATTACTTCAAGCTGAACGAAATTACTAGGATCGGACATGACTGGTATGATTTTGTGTCAGAATTTTTCGATATCTCCAGAAATGATTATGCCGCCCGAGCTTCGAGGATGCTCGCTTTGAAGGGATGGCTGGGTACAATTGTCTGGCAAGCTTCTATTCTGGGTACCACCAGACAATCGGATCTCACTAATTTCCCCATCACTACTCACTCCTCCGACATCCAGCGCTCCCCACCCGACTAAAATAGATTTCACGCGCTTTCAATACGGCCCTTCTTGGGCAAAAGTCAGAGACAATATCCATTGAACCAAAATATTTGTTACAAATGCGATCAGTATTAATTGAGCAAGATAGATTGTCATGATCAGAGGTTACGCAATGTCTACACTCTTGTGAGTACTAAGAATAAATGTCGTCGGTGAGGGCTTACTTGCGCTATATTGGTGGAATCGGCATTTGATGGTACAGTGAATATTATTTCTAGTAGAACTTCCTCAGAAAGATCCAATAGGCCGGTCATCGTCCGAGGTGGACAGGAGGAAGGAGAGCCACCACCTGTGTTGGTGGCAGTTAGTTCGTATTTCCCTTTTAGAACGCTTCGATGTAAGCGGTGAATCCTATTTGTAAGTCAGAGGCTGGTTGAACTGCCCGTCAGTCATAGAGAAGTGGGGAGACCGGCAGGCGCCAAACATATCTTGGAATCACCCACCTTCGCGATGCCGGCCCAGAATTCAAACGTGCCTAAGAAGCAGCAGAGAATTGTGAACAACTCGCTATCCCCATCTCTCGCCCAACGCCTAACAAGCAAAAAGAATCAAGCCTACGACGCGGCCAGGTTTGGGCTCGACGTCACGGCCAACATAGCTGAGGGATCGGATCTACTTGCTCCTCTGAAGGCTGTATGCCGAGCGACAAAATCAATCCTCGAGACCATACAGGTGAGCATGGGAGACTGTCACAAATTCGGGCTTATGAGTGCGACAGGCAATCGAGGGCAATCAAGAAGAATGGACCAACCTTACTCGACGCTTGAAGGGATATCTGTCTGCGCTTGAAGAGCGGATCACCTTGTTTGAGAAATACTCTCCAGAGGACAGGATCGTCGACGAGGCGTTCAGCCAGCCGCTTATCCACTATACAGAGTGCGTGAATACCCACTCTGTTTCAAGATGTTGAATTATCTAGGTTCCTCGAAACTTTGCATGATTCTGTCGTCGACCTCCAGAAGAAACGCAGCCGCAGTAAACTCGAGTTCTTTACAGGAGGAGTCGATGCCAGAGACATTCTCGAACTCAATAGAGATGTCGAGGACCAGCATAGGCAGTTCATGGTGCGAATGTCCCTAGTCCCATTCTCTAGTTCACCGTAAACACAGGAGGCATTGAGCGTTTTCCTCGCATTACGCACTCAAGTCATCGAGCGGAACACCAAAGTGACCAAGGAAGATGCCCAAGCTACTAAATTCGACATGGAGGCTGTAAAGGCTGATGTGAAAACGATTCGGGCAGATGGTGAGTGGGGGCTCTGTTTGGGACACTTGCTTAGGATTCCAAGTCGACGCCTCTGTCATACTTCAGTTACCAACGGTGGCGTTCGTTGCATCTTCAGTTCACAACACCTGTCTGAAAGGAACGCGTGAGGCGGTTATTCAGACGATCCGGTGCTGGGCCGATGATGATGGTCTGGAGATGCCGATATTTTGGTTGTGTGACATAGCTGGATCTGGAAAGTCCACAGTCGCCATGTCCGCAGTGGAATTATGGCGTAATGAGGGATTGCTAGGCGGCCGATTCTTCTTCTCCATAGCAAGTAGCGACGCATCGACTACGGACAAGTTCTGCGCTACTATGGCAAGAGACCTCGTTCATTACATCCCCGACCTTGCATCGTGCATTGCTGGAGCCGTGAAACGGAATCCGTCTTTGATGCGAAGCCCCCTCGACGAGCAATTCCAGATACTCATCACCTACCCTATTCGCCATCGACAACGGCGCGTAGTTCTTGTCATCGACGCTCTTGACGAGTGTCAATCTGAATCACAGCGAAGAGAGCTTGTCGATACACTTGTTGCGGCTGTTAGGGAATGCAAGAACCTCAGAATATTTATTACAAGTCGTCCGGACTCTGTCGTTGAAGCAGCTTTGGGCTCGCTTGCGATCAAAACCAAGTTGGAGGACCGCCTGCACGATCTCAATTATCATGATAACGTCAATGATATCGCCATATATATACATAACTCACTAGAAAAGGTGCTGTCGGAGGACAAGAGGGGAAGGCTGGTCGAGAGAGCCAATGGATTGTTCATTTGGGCAAGCACCGCGTGTCGAATGCTTAGTAACAAGACTAGACTGAGGTCCGCGGCGGAAATATACAATCGTCTCATTTCCATGGACCAGAGCGGTGTCATCGACGATCTGTACGGTCTCATCCTCGAGCGCATAGACCCCGAAGACTACGTGGTCATGTATGAGATGCTCGCTTTACTGCTCGTTGCCTTTGAGCCACTCACTACCGATGATCTTGATGACATCCTCAAACATGCCGGAGTAGATGGGAGCGCCAGGGGGCTAATGGACGCTCTTGGCAGTGTACTGGGCGAAGACAAGACAACAAATCTGATCCAGTTTCGGCATCCCACCTTTGTGGAGTACCTCAAACGCCGCACAATTGTTCGACCCATAGATAGCCACAACAGAGTATATATCAATACCACCAACGCGCATGGGAAAGCCGCATCATGGTGTCTCAAATGCCTGAATTCACCGGACGGTCTCAAATTCAACATATGTCAGCTTGAAACGTCTTTCTACTTGAATAGGGAATTACCAGACCTTGACGCCAGGGTATCAAAGTTTATCCCGAGGAGACTTCAATATGCTGGCTCCCATTGGTTGTTTCACGTAGCGGAAACTGACCATCAATGGCGATCCACGTTTACAAAGGAGCTTCAACTTGTTACCCGATCTCCATACGTACTATACTGGATGGAGATTATGAGTTTCACAGGGGGAGTGTCACGAGCAATAGCTGGGCTTCGAGCTGTAGAAGGCAGCACCGGAGTGAGTGTTTTATCCCACCAAGGTGTCACCACTGAAGCAGTAGAAAGATTGAAGAACACACTAGACGCAACATGGAGGAGGCTCGACGGTTTATGGTAGCATTTTCGGTGCCGATCCAGGATAGCGCCTCACACATCTATATTTCTGCACTTCCATTCGCTCCCATCAAATCAAGACTGCATAAAGAAGGCGTGAATCAGCGCCATAACATGCTTAATGTGGTTCGGGGGGTCGAGAAGATGTATCCCGGACTTCCAGCTAGTCTTCGAGGTCACCAGGGTTGGGTCAATGCCGTCGCGTTCTCTCCGGATGGCTCACGAATTGTCTCTGGCTCACATGACAAGACGATTCGAGTGTGGGATGTGGATACTGGACAGCCGTTGGGAGAGCCATTGCATGGCCACGAAGATTTTGTCTGGAGCGTTGCATTCTCTCCAGACGGCTCACGAATTGTCTCTGGGTCGGCTGATCGGACGATTCGAATATGGGATGCAGTCACTGGGCAGTCGTTAGGAGAACCGCTTCAAGGGCACGAAAATGGGGTTAGTGCTGTCGCGTTCTCGCCAGACGGCTCTCGGGTTCTCTCAGGTTCGGCTGACAAGACAATTCGATTATGGGATTCACTCTCTGGGACCCCCATAGGAGAGCCGCTCAAAGGTCATAAAAATGGAGTCTTGGCCGTCGCATTCTCGCCAGAAGGTTCGCGAATCGTCTCTAGCTCGTACGACAAAACGATTCAAATATGGGACGCGATCAATGGTCGGCCGCTGGGAGAGCCATTCCGCAGTTACGAATGTTGGGCCCTGGCCGTCGCATTCTCACCGGACGGCTCACGAATCGTCGCTGGGTCGACAGATGATATGGTTCGAGTATGGGACTTACGCACTGAGCAGTCATTGGAAGGGCTCTCTAGAGCTCAAGGCGACTCGGTTCGAACCGTCGCGGCTTCACCAGAGGTCTCGCGAATCGCCAGTGGCTCGCAAGAAAGTACGATTCAAGTTCAGGGTGTACATTTTAGAAGTGTGTTAGACTCCCCATTCGAAGGTCACGAGGGCTTTGTCTTAGGTGTCGCGTTCTCTCTGGGGGGCTCTCAAATTGTCTCTAGCTCGGCTGACGGGACGATCCGAACATGGGATATTGTAACTGGGCAGTCGATACGAGAGCCGGCCAGAGGTCAAGAGCATGGGATTAGCACCGTCGCATTTTCACCTGACGGCTCACGAATTGCATTTGGCTCGTCCGACCGCACGATTCAATTGTGGGATGCAGCTAGAAAAAATTCTTTGGGAGGCTCTCTCAGAGGTCATGATAGCGGAGTCCTGGCGGTCGCCTTCTCCCCAAACGGCAAACAGATAGTCTCTGGCTCGTATGACCAGACGATTCGCCTTTGGGATGTAGCCACAGGAAAGCCATTAGGAGAGCCCCTCAAAGGTCATGAGGATTGGGTCATGTCCATCGCATTCTCTCCTGATGGCTCACGAATCGTCTCCGGCTCGGCTGATGGGACTATTCGACTATGGAATATAGCAACTGGACAGCCACTAGGAGATCCACTCCGAGGTCATGAATATTATTGGGTCTTGGCCGTCGCTTATTCGCCAGGTGGCTCTCGAATCGTCTCTGGCTCAGCTGACGGGACTATTCGAGTTTGGAATGCGATCACTAGACAGCCTTTGGGAGGGGCACTTCGAGGCCACGAATACGGGGTGTTGGCCGTCGCATTCTCGCCAGAAGGCTCGCGAATCGTCTCCTGCTCACATGACAAAACAATTCGGCTGTGGGCTGTGGAGTCTGGGCAACCGCTCGCAGATCCAATCCAAGGACATAATGACTCTGTAAAAGCCGTCGCATTCTCGCCGGATGGTTCAAGAATTGCCTCTGGCTCGTATGACCAAACGGTTCGATTATGGGATGCTGTACCCGGGCAGAAATTGGGAGAGCTGCTTCGGTCTCACACAGACGCAGTTTCAGCTGTCGCGTTTTCACCAAATGGTTCGCAAATAGCCTCAGGTTCTCATGACAAAACGGTTCGGATTTGGGACGCATACGCAAGGAAGACGTTTGGGAAGCCACTCCAAGGTCACCAAGGCTTTGTTTTGAGCCTCTCATTCTCGCCAGACGGCTCAAAAATTGTCTCTGGATCGAGTGATGAGACGATTCGGTTATGGGACATTGTCACTGGACAGCCATTGGGAGAGCCAACCCAAGGTCATGAAGACTGGATCAACGCCGTCGCATTCTCACCAGACGGCTCACGAGTTGTCTCTGCCTCTCAAGACAAGACAATTCGAGTTTGGGATGCAAACACCGGACAGCCGTTAGGAGGGCCACTGGAAGGTCACGAAGGCCCCGTATGGAGCGTCGCATTTTCTCCGTGGGGTTCGCGGATTGCATCTGGCTCGCAGGACCAGACAGTTCGCCTGTGGGATGTAGTCGCTGGGCAGCCAGTTGGAGAACCACTCAGAGGTCACGAAGCTGGAGTAGGCACAGTCGCCTTTTCGCCAGACGGCACCCTGATTATCTCCGCCTCGGTCGACGAGACGGTTAGATGGTGGAACGCAGTCACCGGAGCGCCGTTAGGAACGCCACTTCGAGGTCAAGATTACGGAGTTTTGACCATCGCAGTAGCGCCAGATGGCTCACTGATCTATTCTAGGTCTGCATATGGGAAGATTCATATCTGGGATGCAAAGACTGGACAACCGTTGGGAGTGCCACTCTCTGGGTATGAGAGCGGTGTCTCGTGTATCGCATTCTCACCAGACCACTCGAAGATTGCGATAGTTGCTCCTTCAGCTAGCAAGAAGATCCATATATGGGATATAGTCACCGGAAATCTGTTGGGAGAGCCACTCCTGGGTCACCAGGAGTCTGTCAAAGTGGTCGCATTCTCACCAGATGGTTCTCGACTAGTCTCCGGCTCTGATGATAAAACTATTAGACTGTGGAATACATACACAGGTCGATCATTGGGAGAGCCGATCCGAGGTCACCAAGGCGAGGTCAGAGCCATCGCATTCTCGCCAGATGGATCACGAATCCTCTCTGGCTCGACCGACATGACCGTTCGTGTATGGGACGCAGGAATAAGTGAGTGTAGCTTGTAATAAGTTTATGTGGGAAGTGACTCTTCCCCCTCCTAGATGATGCGAACAACATCAATCCGCATGACAGGAATTCTATACATTCTGATCTCAGGGAAGGTTCTCCTCTCGGAATCATTATACCCGGATTCGAACAGTGCTCACTCACGCTCGATGGATGGGTACAGTCAGGGGCTAAGCGTCTATTCTGGGTGCCTCCAAACAATAGGCATGGGATAAAAAATCCCCGCCTTCTTTTGACAATCCCGACCTCGAGTCCTTTCCGTTCAACCAAACTCGACTTGACTCATTTTCAATGTGGCCTTTCTTGGACGAATGTTCAAAACGACATCCGCCGGTGACCTGTCAGGTATTATATTTGCCACTTTGTGTATTTTATTTGTATCCACGTCGATCGAAGAATGCTGTGAGAGCCATTCGAGCACATCCAGTCATTTATCGTAGACGTTGAGGGTTGTCCTCCCTCATACCAATCCGTGTGTCAGCAGATTGAATAGTGAGATATGGCCAGGTCGGGTCGGCGCCAAATACATCTTATGCTCAGCCACTTTGCGCGATGTCAGCCCAAAGGCCGATCAAGGCCAAGAAACAGCACACAGTTGGGAATGACACAACAATCTCGTCTTTGACGCAACGCCCAACCAGTAAAAGAGATCAACTATACGATGCGGCTACCGTGGGCCTCAACGTGGTGGCAAATATAGCCGAGGGATCAGACATACTAGCCCCTCCAAAGGCAGCTTGTCGAGCGACGAAATCAATTCTCGACGTGGCGCAGGTGAGCAAGATAAATTGTCACGATTTGACCTGATCAACGCGAGAGGCGGTTGAGAACAATCAAGAAGAATGGGCTGAACTCATTCAACGTCTGAAGAAATGCATGTCCGCACTTGAGGAACGGGTCGCCTTCTTTGAAACATATCCCTCAGAGGACAGAGCTGTCGACTAGGCATTCAGCCAGCCGCTCGTCCATTATATCGAGTATGTGAGCCTCTCTATTTGTGTCAAGAGGTTGAAACATGCAGGTTTCTTGAGACTAGGCATGATACAGTCGTCGACCTCCAGACGAAACGCAGCCGGAGCAAACTCGGATTCCTTAAAGCGTTTGGAAAAGTGAAAATTGATGCAGAAGAGCTTCTCAAGTTCAATCGAGATATCGAAGATCAACATAGGCAATTCATGGTGCGAGTTTCGTCCGTTTCGTTCACAAGCTCATCATGGACACAGGAGGGGTTGAATTGGTTTGTCGCATTGCGGGTTCAAGCCATCGAGAGGAACACTAGAGTTACAAAGGAAGATGTCCAAGTAACGAAAGCCAACGTGGAGGCCACCAAGGCAAACGTCGAGATAATTTTGACAGACGGTAAGCGGAAACCTTGTCTGAAGCGCCCACTGAATACTTCAAGTCGACACTTCTGCAATACTTCAACTACCTACGGTAGCATTCGTTGCATCCTCAGTCCATAACGCATGCCTGAAAGGAACGCGTGATGCAGTTCTGCGGACAATCTGGTGCTGGGCCGACGACGATAACACGGAGAAACCAATATTTTGGCTCTGTGATATAGCCGGATCTGGCAAGTCCACAGTCACGATGTCCGTGGTGGAATCATGGCGAAAGGAGGGAGTGCTAGGCGGCCGGTTCTTCTTCTCGATAGCGAGCAACGAAGGATCGACCACGGACAAGTTCTGCTCCACAATAGCAAGAGATCTCGTTCACTACATCCCTGGGCTCACACCCCACGTTGCCAAAGCCGTGAAGCAGAACCCTGCTTTCATGCGGAGCTCTATTGACGAGCAGTTCAAGACTCTCGTCACTAATCCTCTTCATTATTGGCAAGGGCGCGTAATTCTTATCATCGACGCTCTTGATGATTGTAAATCTGGATCACAGCGAAGGGAACTAGTCGACGTCCTGGCTGGAGCCGTTCAAGAAAGCAACAATCTGAAGATATTCATGACAAGCCGGCCGGACTCTGTCATCGAAACGGCATTGGGTTCGCTTGCGATCAAAACCAAGTTAGAGGACCGCCTACATGATGTCAACCCTCGCGACAACGTTGATGACATCGCGCTCTACATTCACAGATCGCTAGATGGAGTGCTTTCGGAAGACAAGAGGCAAAGGCTTGTCCAAAAATCCAACGGCTTGTTCATTTGGGCAAGCACAGCATGTCGAATGCTCGATAGCAACACCAGATTACGGCCTCCTGAGAGCATATACAACCGTATCATCTCCATAGACCAGGGTGGTGTCATAGACCATTTGTACACCCTCGTCCTCGAGCGCACAGACCCCGAAGACTACGCGGTTATGCACGAGATGCTCGCAATACCGCTGGCCGCTTTCGAACCGCTTACCGTTGGCCATTTTGACGACATAGTCAATCATAATAGGGTAGACGGGAGTGCCAAGGCGCTAGTAGATGCTCTTAGCAGCGTGCTGAGCGAGGATAAAGCGACGAATGCAATCCAATTTCGTCATCCAACCTTCGTTGAGTACCTTCGACGCTGCTTTCATACCTCGGCCATCCAGAAGCGCAATAATCTCTATCTCGACGTCAGCAAGGCACATGGTCAAACCGTATCATGGTGTCTCAAATTCTTATATCTGGTCTCAAGTTCAATATCTGTCAAATCGAGTCATCCTTCTACCTAAACAGGGATATCCCAGACCTTGATGCAAGAGTATCCAAGTTCATTCCGACAAGACTTCGATATCCCAGCTCTCATGGGCTCTCCATGTGGGGAAAAGACTCCGACTGGCGGTCTATACTCAAGAACGAGCTTCGGCGCATGGTTGAATTTCCATACGTGCTGTGCTGGATGGAGATCCTGCGCTTCACCGGGGGATTGCCTCGAGCAATAGCGGGTCTTCGAGCCGTGACAGCCCACATAGGAGTGAGTGGTTTATCCCAGCGATATTCAAGCGATTAGGCGGTAGACAACTTGAAAAAGAAACCAGATGCAACATGATCGAAATACAACGGTTTATGATGACATTCTCAACACCGTGTTGTGACAGCGCCCCACACATCTACATTTCCGCGCTTCCGTTCACCCCAACAAGATCGAAATTACATAATGAGGTTGTAAAAAGACGCATCAATACCCTCGCTGTGACAAAGGGACTCGATGAAATGTATCCCGGGCTCCCTACTAGTCTTCGGGGTCATACCGACTGGGTCAATGCTGTCGCATTCGCGCCAGATGGCTCGCAGATCGCCTCATGTTCAGTAGATAAAACAATTGGACTGTGGGATGCATTCACTGGGCAGTCATTGGGGGAGCCGCTCCGAGGTCATGTCCACTTGGTCGAGGCCATCGCGTTCTCGCCAGACGGCTCACAAATTACCTCCGTTTCGCGCGATACGACGGTTCGACTCTGGGATGTAAACACCGGATATCCATTAGGAGAACCACTCCGATATCATAATGATGGAGTCAGCGCTGTCGCCTTCTCGCCAGACGGTTCACGAATCGTCACCGGTTCGGAGGATGCGACGATCAGACTGTGGGATTTAGAAGGCGATCGGCCCGTGATGGAGCCACTTCGAGGCCACGAAGATGGAGTGACCGCTGTCGCGTTCTCACCCAATGGTTCGCAAATTGCTTCTGGCTCGTACGACAAAACAATTAGACTATGGGATGGAGCTACTGGTCTTTCGTTGGGAGAGGCAATCCGCTGTCATGACAATTGGGTCAAGACAATTAGCTTCTCACCAGACGGTTCACAAATTGTCTCTGGCTCAGAGGACCGTACTATTCGACTATTGGATGCAGTTACTAGACAACCACTTGGGGAGCCATTTAGAGGTCACAAGGGTTCAGTCTCCTCGGTCGGGTTCTCTCCAGATGGCTCACAAATTGTCTCTGGCTCGACGGACAGCACAATACGACTGTGAGATATAGCCAACAGAGAAACCCTGAGGGACCCCCTCAAAGGCAACGAAGGCTTAGTCCTCGGCGTGGCGTTTTCACCAGATGGCTCACACATCGCCTCTGGTTCAGCTGATAGGACCATTCGACTGTGGAGTGCAGTCACCGGATGCCCATTGGGAGAGATGCCTCGAGGTCACCAAAATTCGGTCTATGCCGTCGCGTTCTCGCCAGATGGTTCACGAATCGCCTCTGCATCCATCGATAAGACGATTCGAACATGGGATGCGGTCACTGGGCAGCCGTTAGGAGAGCCACTTCAAGGTCACAAAGGTGGTATCTTAGCTGTGGAATTCTCCCCAGACGGCTTACAATTTGTCTCGGGTTCAACGGATAAAACAATTCAACTGTGGGATGCGGATAGTGGAAAACCGTTGGGAGAACCACTTCGAGGTCATACGGAGTCGATCAAGTTTGTCGGCTTCTCCACGGATGGCTCCCGAATCGTCTCTGGCTCGTTCGACACGACAATTTGACTCTGGGATGCAGCCACTGGAAAACCATTAGGAGAGCCACTCCGAGGTCACGCGATGTCAATCGAGGCGGTAGCTCTCTTGTCAGATGGTTCCCGAATCGTATCTGGCTCGATGGATTGCACGATTCGACTATGGAATGCAGCGACAGGTCAGTCGTTGGGAGCGCCGCTGCGTGGTCACCAAGAGTCCGTGAGAGCCGTCGCATTCTCACCAGACGGCTTGAGAATTGCTTCTGGCTTGTCCGATAGGACTATTTGTATTTGGGATGTGGCTACCCGATCGCTGTTGGGAAAGCCATTTCGAGGCCACCAAGACCCGGTTTGTGGCATCGCTTTCTCGCCAGACGGTTCTCGCATTGTCTCTGGATCGTACGATGGGAAGATTCGACTATGGGATATACCTACTGCACGGCAGTTGGAAGATCCATTTCTAGGTCACGAAAGCTGGGTCAACACTGTTGCATTTTCACCTGACGGTCTGCGAATTGTCGGCGGCTCCTCAGGCAACACGATTAGTCTCTGGAATGTAGAAGGTACTGAGTGCAGCCAGACTTTTCTTAATGGTGCAATGTACTGACAAATTCCGCTAGATACAAAAGCGCATAGATTGATTCACGAAATTCTCGTGCCTGGATACGATGGTGTTCGCTTTTGCGCGATGGCTGGGTGCTGTGCGACGACGATAAACATCTCTTCTGGGTACCACCGGACAATCGACATGGACTGTCATTTCCTCGCCTTCTTCTGACGTTACCGACATCAAGGAGTGTTTTCCGCGCAACCAAGCTTGACTTTACCTATTTTCAAGGTGGTCTCTCATGGACAAACGTTTTAAAGACATCCGATGATGATTTAGTATGATCTATATGACTACTTCTGCACATTGTATTCTATATGCCTAGAACGAAGTATTTCTGGCTTCTGCACTTACACACGTCCAGTCGCATTGTTATAGACTTCGAAGGTTCTTTCACTTAGTAGAATACATAACAGGCGACTGCCAGGCACAATCTGTCACAGCACTGGGCACAATCTCTCACAACACCAGGCACGATCCGTCACAAACTTGCACGATGAGGACGTGCTGGCCGTATGACAGATGCAATGCTTCAAATAATAGTCGCTCACTCATCCTCGCATGCAAACTGGCATGCTTGCGCACAATTTGCACGACAATTGGAACAAATCGGGGCGAATTGGCACTGCAAGTGTCACCAATCGGCACAAAGTTGCACGAATTGTCACAAATCTGCACGTTCTTTCACGAATCGTCATAAATCTTCGCATTCTTTCACGATACTGCACAAGGGTGTCAAGGCAGGATCCTATTATTGTCCGAGCTGTCCGCCCAAATGACAGATCTTTGGATAGCATGTAGCTGACCTAGAATATGAAGGGGTACGGTCCGAACACGATGGCCATGGTATAGATCGTTCATCCATGCACGTTTGAATCGCAAAACTACGGTGATTATTCGCAGAATCAGATAGCTGAGCCTCATAGGTACAAAGGTAAGGTAATGATTCTCTTCTTTCTCGCCAAGGTTCATTGATTGACGCTGCCTCGGACTTTTGTCCATGAAGGACCACAGTGGAAATGAGCGAAGTCGAGTTTGGTCGGGTAGGGAGGGGTAGACGTTGGTAAGTTGAGGAGGAATGGAGACGTTAATGAGAGCCGATTGTCTGGTGGAACCCAAAATAGAAGCTTCCCTGAGAGATGCACCCAACCGTCATCAGAGAGAGTAAATGTTCGGAGCTGGGAAAGCATAACTTTCAATAAAGCCAGGATATTTTGATGCGAGATAAGGCCATCCTGGATTGACTGGCTCAACTGACCATTATGGTTGGATAACTCGGCTACGGGAATTTGTAAGCTTCCAGCATCACGGGGGGAAAAGGAATGAAGTGAAACGAACCAAATGCGGTGTTCCATAGTGTAATTGTGCTGTGAGCTGGAACCGACGTGATTTCCAAGCCGTCTGGTGAGAATGCAACGGCGCCTCCCCAGTCTGTGTGGCCTCGGAGTGGGTCTCCCAACGACTGGCCCGTCTCCGCATTCCATAGTCGAATCGTATGATCGCGCGAGCCAGAGACGATTCGCGAGCCGTCTGGTGAGAATGCGACGGCGCTGACCGAGTTTGTGTGGCCTCGGAGTGGGTCTCCCAACGACTGGCCCGTCTCCGCATTCCATAGTCGAATCGTGTTATCCCACGAGCCAGAGACGATTCGCGAGCCGTCTGGTGAGAATGCGACGGCGGTGACCGAGTTTGTGTGGCCTCGGAGTGGGTCTCCCAACGACTGGCCCGTCTCCGCATTCCATAGTCGAATCGTGTTATCCCACGAGCCAGAGACGATTCGCGAGCCGTCTGGTGAGAATGCGACGGCGCTGACCGAGTTTGTGTGGCCTCGGAGTGGGTCTCCCAACGACTGGCCCGTCTCCGCATTCCATAGTCGAATCGTATGATCGTGCGAGCCAGAGACGATTCGCGAGCCGTCTGGTGAGAATGCGACGGCGGTGACCCAGTTTGTGTGGCCTCGGAGTGGGTCTCCCAACGACTGGCCCGTCTCCGCATTCCATAGTCGAATCGTATGATCGTCCGAGCCAGAGACGATTCGCGAGCCGTCTGGTGAGAATGCGACGGCGCTGACCGAGTTTGTGTGGCCTCGGAGTGGGTCTCCCAACGACTGGCCCGTCTCCGCATTCCATAGTCGAATCGTGCTATCCCACGAGCCAGAGACGATTCGCGAGCCGTCTGGTGAGAATGCGACGGCGCTGACCAGTTTGTGGCCTCGAGGTGGGTCTCCCAACGACTGGCCCGTCTCCGCATTCCATAGTCGAATCGTGTTATCATTGTCCGAGCTAGAGACGATTCGCGAGCCGTCAGGTGAGAATCCGACGGCGGTGACCAAGTTTGTGTGGCCGCGGAGTGGGCCTCCCAACGACTGGCCCGTCTCCGCATCCCATAGCCGAACGGTATGATCGCCGGAGCCAGAGACGATTCGCGAGCCGTCTGGTGAGAATGCGACGGCGGTGACCGAGTTTGTGTGGCCTCGGAGTGTGTCTCCGAACGACTGGCCCGTCTCCGCATTCCATAGTCGAATAGTATGATCGCGCGAGCCAGAGAGGATTCGCGAGCTGTCAGGTGAGAATGCGACGGCGCTGACCCAGTGTGTGTGGCCCCGCAGTGGATCTCCCAACGACTGGCCCGTCTCCGCATTCCATAGTCGAATCGTCTTATCACCCGACCCAGAGACGATTCTCAAGCCGTCTGGTGAGAATGAGACGGTGCTGACCCAGTCTGTATGGCCTCGGAGTAGACCTCTCAACGACTGGCCCGTCTCCGCATTCCATAGTCGAATCGACTTATCATTCGAGCCAGAGACGATTCGCGAGCCGTCTGGTGAGAATGCGACGGCGCTGACCCAGTTTGTGTGGCCTCGGAGTGGGTCTCCCAACGACTGGCCCGTCTCCGCATCCCATAGTCGAATCGTGTTATCATTCGAGCCAGAGACGATTCGCGAGCCGTCTGGTGAGAATGAGACGGCGGTGACCGAGTTTGTGTGGCCTCGGAGTGGGTCTCCCAACGACTGGCCCGTCTCCGCATTCCATAGTCGAATCGTCTTATCATCCGAGCTAGAGACGATTCTCAAGCCATCTGGTGAGAATGCGACGGCGCTGACCCAGTTTGTGTGGCCTCGAAGCGGTTCTCCCAACGACTGGCCAGTCTCCGCATCCCATAGTCGAATCGTATTATCATACGACCCAGAGACGATTCGCGAGCCGTCTGGTGAAAATGCAATCGTCCTGACTACCTCTGTATGTCCCCGAAGCGCTTCTGGAAGTCCCCGGTATGTCTTTTCCAGCCCTTTAGTCACTTTGAGAGTGTTACTATACATTGATAACCCCTCCATATGCATATGTGATTCTGTAGGTGTGAACGGAATCGCCGAGATGTAGATATGTGGAGCACTCTCTTGAATAGGTACTGAAAATGCCATCATAAACCGCATCACTTCACTTATGCGACCATTAGTCTCTTTTTCAACCTTTCCCTTGTTAAAAAATGCGAATATACCGAGGCGAGCCACTCACACTATTGCGCATCACAGCTCGGAGCCCATCTATAGCTCGCGGCAGTCCTCCAATCAAGCTCAGAACCTCCATCCAATGTAGTACATATGGGACTCGAATAATATGTTCAACTTCATTTTTGAGCTTGCTTCTCCATTTGCTATCCGTTTCGGCCATATGAAACGGCCAGTGTAAACTCGCATATCGAACGTTCATTCTGATGAACTTTGATATTCTTGCCTCTAGATCCGGCATCTCTCTGTTTCGATAGAAGGACGACTCGATTTCACATATATTGAACTTGAGGCCTTCCTTCGGTGCTTGAAGTTTATTGAAACCCCACGATGCAATTTGACCGTGCGCATTGGCGATGTCGATATACATTCCACTCGGCTCTTTGAGGTCTGGGCCTAGACAGCGCCGTCGCAGATATTCCACAAGAGTAGGGTGACGAAACTGAATGACTTTTGTTGCTTCATCTTCGATAAGAACACTTCCAAGTTCTCGAATCAACACCCTGAAGTGTCCCCGTAGTCTACTATGCTTGAGAATGTTGTCTAGATCCTCGGAGGTAAGTGGTTCGAATGCAGCGAGCAGTAGTGCAAGCATGCTCCACATGATGGTATGGAATTTGGGATCTATCCGCTCGAAGATGAGCTTGTATACGTCGTCAATGTCTCCACTTTGGTCCAATAAGACCAATGAGTCGTATATATTTTCAGGCGTGTCCCATGTTGTTTCGTTGTTGATCATTCGACATGCGGTGCTCGCCCAGATGAACAATCCCCTCGCCTTCTCAATCAGCCGCCGTCTCTTGTCCTCGGGTAGAACAGTGTAGAGTGATTGATGGACATACGTCGCGATGTCATCTACGTTGTCACGATGTTTGACATCATGCAACCGGTCTTCCAATTTACATTTGATCGAGAGTGGTTGAAGAACCGATTCGATGACGGCGTCTGGCCGACTCGTGATGAATACCTTGAGGTTCTTGCTTTGTCGAACGGCTTTAGCAAGCGTGTCGACAAGTTCCTTTCGCTGAGGTCCAGATTTGCATTCGTCTATGGCGTCGATGACAAGAACTACGCGTCCGTCTCGATGACGGAGTGGATCGATGATGAGTGTGTGGAATTGTTCCTCCAACGAACTCCGCATGACCGATGGGTTCCGTTTGACGGCATCTGCGACGTGGGGTGCGAGTTCGGGAATGTGTTGAGCAAGGTCTCTTGCCATGGTCGAGCAGAACTTTTCTATTGTCGATGTATCGCTATTAGCTATGGAGAAAAAGAATTGGCCTCCTAGTGTTCCCTCGACATGCCAGGACGCGGCTGCCGACATTGCAACTGTGGACTTGCCAGAGCCGGCTATGTCGCAGAGCCAGAATATTGGTTTGTCTGAGGTATCATCCTCAGCCCAATTCTGGATTGTCTGAAGGACAGCCTGACGCGTTCCTTGTAGACAGGTTCTGTGGACCGAGGATGGGGCGGATGCCACCATCGGGAGTTGGAATATAAAGGATGCGTCGACTTGGAGCATTTGAGTGAACGTCGTGCAAGCAAGTCCTAGCTTACCGTCTGAGGAGACTGCTTCTACCTTGTGTTCGATAGCATGAACTCGGTAGCCCGTGAAGAGGGCCAACGCTTCCTATTTAGGGTGTGAAATTAGGATGATATAGCCTGGTGCTCTCACCATGAACTGCCTATGCCGGTCCTCGATATCGCGATTGAATTTACGAATGAGCCCTGCGTCGACCTTTACTTTTCCGATGGCCGTAAAAGCACCGTGGCTGGTGCGGGGTCGCGTATGCCTATCATTGACGATAGCGCAATGAATATCCTCGAGAACTCTGCGTCAATCAGTCGACTGCGCCAGAGTAGATGTGCCAATTACTTACTCGACATAACGAACGAGTGGCTGGCTAAAAGCCTCGTCGACAACCCTATCCTGTGGAGGATACTTCTCGAGCGAGTCGATTTGGTTCTCAATAGCCCACATGTATTCCTCCAGACGGCGTACAAGGTCACTCCAGTCTCCTTGATTATCGTCGATGGCCTATGATAACCGTCAGGCGACATTATGCGGGTTTGTGTGCTTACCTGCTTGACGTCGATGATTGACTTTGTTGCTCTGCAGGCTGCTTTGAGAGGAGCGAGGATATCCGAGGCCTCTGCTACGTTTGCGACTACATCCAGTGCGATACTGGCCGTATTTTGGACTTGATCCTTCTTGCCTGGCGATCGTCCTGCAGCATTCGAGGGCCCCTGATTCAGTTTAGTCGACTTTTGAGATGACATTGCGGAGGTGGAATCCAAGTCAAGGACGGCGTCTACCACTCTCTGCCGCATATTCTCCACGAGCCAGTCGAATCTAACTATGAGAGTAACAATACATCCAGTCTTAATGCACGATTCCGACAGTCCAGGGAGCAGTCAAAGGTCTCGAACCTTGGCGAGTTGTCTAATTGCCCCTGCGTGTGTAGACTGCACGATTCGCAATTGGAACGCGGCAATTTGAAGAGCCACTTCAAGGGCACACAAGTTCGGCCGGCGCCATTGCATTCTCGCCAGATGGCTTGGGAATCATTTCGAGCTCCATAGACTCCACAGTTAGACTGTGGGGCGCCGCATTCGGTTCGTTCCATTTCACTCCTCTCTTACCCTACTTCTGGAAGCTCACCAATACCGCCGGACAATCGCCTCTCATTGACTTCTCCACTGCTGCTCACCATACCGACATCGACTTTACCCATTTCCACTGCGGTCCCTCTTGGACAAAAGTCAGAGAAAGTATCCATTGAACCAAGGATTTGACAGGTATAAAATCAATATCACTATATATATCCCTTGCTTACGAGCTTGAAAATGAGCATGATGTTTGTGTACACTTGGCTTGCTGGCGTTGCTGGAACGAGCGCTTTCGACGATGCGATCGACAATATAGATGGGGCAAAGCTTAGTTCTCGCCAATAAAGTCGATAATAGCTCGTAAAAGACAGGAAACGACTGGGTTTACAAGGCGAGAGGTCACCAGCAAGTCTGTCAAGAGGTGTTGCTTGCAGGATCATTTGATTCCAATGTTCTGGGTCCTCGCCTTGCTTCTTGTTTAGGACGACCGGCTTTACTATTTTCGCGCCTATATTCGCTTCCTCATCGAGTTCATCTCACTAGTCTCTCGATTGACAATTGAGGTAATCGACCTGAAGAGTCTCTTCTTGAGACGTAGCACGCCAAAGTATCCAACTCGACTTTTAGTATTCAGACTCGTCTTTGCGCATACACTAGGCGACTCGTATAGATTAAGACTTGCAGGTGATGTCGCACTCACGATCCAAAGAGAGACAAATGCTGACCAACTCTTCACCGAGGACTGGGAAGCCATTCTTTTGGAAAGTCTGCAAGCGTAACTCTTCTCCTTTCCGCTTTATAACTCCCTCCACCTCGTCCGTGTGATCGTAATCTCGAATCGTGATGCCTTGTTGGAAGAGGGATATCTGTAAAAGAGTCTGGTGATGAGGACGTAGCCCTGGCCTAGACAAGACGTTAGGACTTTGATTGATGGTATTCGAACAACTTACATTCGCCTCGGAAACCAATTTACGGAGTGTATCCATACACCACTTCAAGTTCATTGGACCTTCGGGGAACAATTCGCAGGATATCTTGACATATCCATGCTCTGCTTCAATATCCTTCGAAGCAGAGGTGGCCTTGGACGCGTACACAGGCTCGTGTGTAGCTTGCGGAAGTCCACTGTCCTTGGGTGGCTCCAAAAACCAACGAGGACCTGCGATCACTTTGATATTGTGAATCGCGTCCGCATTTCTAAGTTGCAGTTTCGATATTGGTACGACGATTACTCGTTTCGGCGTGACTGGATGGTGAAGTTCCCCAGCATAAGTCACTGAGCGGACGAGAACGGATGTCTTGTTGGGATTTGGCGGTATAAATGGCCTCCTGTACTCTTATTTAGAGTTAGCAAAGCGCCAACTGTGCAAAGTCGAGTTTGACAAACTTTCGAATCGTGGAACGTCGCGCTCCAATAGCCTCATACGATCGAAAAACTCTTTTTGCTGATGAAAGATCTCCCAACCCCAGCTGCTCATGTGCCGTTGGTCCTCTTCTTCGACGTTTTCGATATCCCATAGACGGTCTTCCTCTTCCTGAATGTTGGCGCGTAATAGTCGCGCATCTCTAGGTACATCTGTAGATGTACTGGCTTGGTCTGCATGTGCTGAGGAGCTGGAAGAGAGGAGTCTGCGGGTGATGGACGGTGTTATTCTGTGTTGAGTGAGCGTTGCTACACTCCGAGTAGTTGACCACATGTTGAATAGTGAGATATAAATGATAATAGGCCTTGACTTGTAAAGCCGTGTAAACTGGTTCTGGCCAACCTTGACCTCTCCCACATTTGACCCGAAAATGGCGAGTCTCACGCGTCTCGCAGTGGAAATCTGGCAACATCTAACGACATGGTTGGAATTATAGGATCCTAATAATCTCTTTGCCCAGTTTGCAGGGTGAGTTTTCTCCAAGCCACCTGGATCATATCTGCGCCTGGATGTCTTGTTTTTCATTTGATGGGTGTATCTGCCATTTAGCAGACCACACCCATCCATCCAACGTCGCGTCTGCATCCAGCCTGTCTCTGGCAGTTAGTGGCAATGACGCGTCGTGTTTGAAACCAGAGCCAGCCGTTGGAAAGACGCTGACCTATTCCGTTCTCGCACACCAATCTCGTTGTTTCTCCATCTCCTGGATCCACCCACAAACCGCATTTCTCTCTGTGGAAATGGCCACCGCTTCCCTTGTGGCTAACGCGCATCCCGGCAATCCCGCGCCTGCAACGATTCTACACTCCTCCACGACAATCTCGTCAAACTCCAAATCCTCAAAACCACCTCAAACACGTAATCTTGTTCCCGTGACGCTTGTTGACGCCGACTTGCTGCATGCAACCGACACCGATTCGGCTACACCACCATCTCGCCCACGAATACAAACATGGATCAACTTGCGGCTGAAATTGCTTCAAACACGGGTCAACGGACGCCTTTCTCTCTGGTACCTCCGCCTCCCTCAATGCATGCGTCGGCGGCTCGACAAACGGCGTGCGGCCAAATGGGCGGATCACGACATGTCCGTATGGAATGATACTACTGAATCATCCAATGATTATTGGGCCAACTTGGGAACGCCTCACCAACTCTCCGACACGACGGCGCCTGCGCCTACAAACGCTGACGGACCTCCTGCTTCGCTACCGATTCGATCGCATAGAATGGGCTCATTCATGGGTGGTGGTCTCGCTGGTAATGGCTTAGCGCCTCCTCCGCATGCATTCGACGAGCACTACAAGGCCTACTCGGTCGCAATGTTCCCTCGCGCAGAGCGAGAGAATGTCAGCTATGGAGGAAAGAGTATGTCTCTTTTGAATTGCGCATAATACGGACGCGTTGACCATGGTCATAGTCTTGATGCCACCATCTGCTCTAGCACGCTTGTCTCAACTCAACTTTCCGTCTCCATGGATGTTCCAACTACGCAATCCTAAGAACGCTGCAGCAAGCACTCACGCGGGTGTTTTGGAATTTATCGCCGACGAAGGATGCGTCTTCCTTCCTCATTGGGTAGGTCGAGCTAGGGAGCGAAATCGAGGTGCTCACGGCCGTTTCTCAGATGATGAAGACTTTGAAGCTCAATGAGGCTGATCCGATTCGGATCACTGGCGCGTCGTTACCGAAAGGAAAGTTTGTCAAGCTACAGGCTCAAGAAACGTCCTTTGTGGAGGTACAATGGTTTATATCATACAGATTCCAATCTAAGCACGATTCTAGGTTTCGGATCCGAAAGCTGTGCTAGAACAAGCTCTCAGAAACTTTACCTGTCTCACACAAGGCGACATCATCGAAATCTCATATAATAGCATTATATTCGGGCTATTGGTTATGGAGACACGAACGACAAGTCAAAGTGGGCCCGCATGTGAGTTTCATACCTGTCCTAAGCAAATCCCTATTGACCATTTCCCTTATCCAGCATCGCGATCTGCCACTCCAGCACCGGTCCTGGTATAGCTGTCTTTGATACCGATCTAGAGGTCGATTTTGCGACTCCAAAGGGCTGGAAAGAGCCGGTGAGAGCACCGCCAAAACCAATCGAGACAATGGCAACTCGTCTCGGTTTGGACGGAGGCAAGACTGCATCTGGCAAGTCGACACCTTCTGGTTCACGTCCAGGCAGTAGCCTGGGTGCCGTTGTTGGTCAGTTATCCCCACTTACTCTGAACGATGTAAAGTACTCATTTTCCTTTCAAGATGACGATGCGTTTGAGGCATTCAAGGGTCGAGGAGAAACGCTCAATGGACGCAAGACGAAGGGTAAAGGAGTGAGAACTGGAGGACGAAAGATTACAGAAGTTGACGCCTCGTCCAAAATCGAGCGAACTGAGTGAGTTTCGCTGTCAACTCGAGATTTATCCTACTCACCTTTTGCGCGTATAGCAAACCCAAACTCATCACGTCTTCAATGCTCGACATGGCCTCTTCAGCTACTGCAACCGATGCACAACCACTCAACCTCGAATTCGGCCAGCTCTTTTTCGGATACCCAGTCGTCCCATATAAGCCACCAGCGCAGACGCAGAAGGAAAAGACAGAAGGCGAACCTTCGACATCTGGTATCGGGCTCTCAGTCTTGGACTCGTTACGAGGCGGGAACACGCTCAGTGGACGACCGACGCCGCGGAGCTCTACGCCCGCTCCAACTGGATCTGAACGAGGAGGCGCAGCGACGCCAGATGTACCCGGAACGACGGCGGGAGCGGGGTATGCGTGGGGCGCTGGTGGGCATGCGTTGGGGAGCGTTCGGATTGGGAGTAGTGCGAGTGCCAGCAAAGCTGGGAGCGCGCGTGGAGACGGGGAGAAGAAGAAGAAAAGGAAAAAGCCCGAGTCGATTGATGTCGATTGAGGTTGAGGACGTTTACGTTTGTCTGAGCATTAGGCTTGATGGCTTATTGTATGTTATTTCATCCAGCTCTGATTTGAAAGATACAAACATAACGATACTATCTCTTGGCCGTCCAGGCTTTGTTTAAATGTGGCTTTAGGTCGACAAGTTATGCGCTCAACCAGGCGCTCCGGCCCCGTTTTGAGTTGCAGGTGGTATCGTATTATAAAACAGGATGATTTCTAGCCTCTGGCATTCGTAGATATTTGACTGCAGCGCTGTACCGAGTTCCGAAACGGCCTGCCTGAGGAGGGCATCTGGAAGGTGGGCCATCGATCAATATAGCAAGTCGCATCAACACTCTACATATTCAACGCACTTTCATTTTGGAGGTTCCCCTCTTGCTCCTTCTTACGGATCCGGTACTCTCTCTGCGATTCGGCATTCTTCTTCCTCTGCAGCGCCGCCTTGTCCTCTACAGGAAACAAAATCAGGACTATCAGCGTACGAAGATGAACATCACAAACTGAAATCGTTTTCACAGTTGCTATCGGACATTCTCAGTGCTGACAGGTGTCGGGAGGAAAGTCATGGTGCAGGCCAAGGAGTGAAGCTAGACGCCTGACTGCACCCGGCCAAACTTTACTAGAGCCGATTTGAATATTTCCAAAGCTTGTGCATCGATGTCCATTATGACGATTCCTCAAGATGGGTGGCGTCGACATCGCTAGCTGGCTCATCGCATGCCATAACTATAAGGCCGATATTGGTCTTGCAATGGCTCCAAACCGATGTAAAGTCATTATTAGAGCATATTATTGCTCTCTATTTTATTTCTATTTTATTAAATGACAAATTTTTGGCTCTGATTGCAAGCTACAAGGATAGCTACATTAATTTTTGATTGTGCTAGACCTCGTTAAAGCTTGCCTATAGCTTGATATATATTACGCTTACCGGGGGGATTTATGAATGCCTTGCGTACTATACGCGCTCCGTGTCTCTTTCGAAACAACGGAAAGTTGGCGCGCTATCGCTGGTGCTCTCTTTGACCTATCAAAGCGCCCATGAGTGCCAAAACATCATCATGCTCCACATCGTCGTTGAGAGAAAGTGAACTAGTAAGGTTCCGTAGTGCATTCTTGCCCAGACTCGCGAATCACCTCAGAATGATATCCAAAGGGGAGCCCACCGGGGGAACAGTACGGACATGCATGAGGCTTCTTAACATCTCTAATTCCTTACTTTTTGCCTCTAGCGCTCTACTGATCTCCGAAACGGCCTGCCTGAGGTAGGCATCTGGAAAGTAGGCCATCGATCAATATAGCAAGTCGCATCAACAGTCCATATATTCAACTTACTTTCATTTTGAAGGTTCTCTTCTTGCTCTTTCCTACGGATCCGGTACTGTCTCTGCGATTCGGCATTCATTTTTCTCTGCAGTGTCACCTTATCCTCTCGTATTTCCACTGCGAATAAACCGAATCAACATCATCAGAAAACAGGAGCAGGCATTAAAAACCTGAATCTAGTCCAAAGAACAGATCTGACATTCGAGTGCAGACAGCCGCCGACAGGAATTCGTGGTAAAGGGCAAGATGCGTCTAGGTGGAGACACCCAGCGTCCAGTTCACAGCAATATTTATATATTTGAAGTGAGTATTTCCAAAGCTTGTACAATTATGTTCGTTGTAGCGAATTCTCAAGATGCTCGGTGTCGGCATGCCTAGCTGATCGTATACCATAATCATAAGAATGAATAGAAGTCTCGAAACGGCTCAGTCCTGGGGTAACATATCATCCGAGAATAGGTACGCTTGTTTGCTATATATCATTTGCATCTCGCTCTGATTTCAAGATACAAGGATCGGCGTATTATCTACCATCGCCCGACACTAATTGAGAATTATATCAACCTTTATCGAGACACCTCTCTGGGAACCTCTCGCTCGTTTTGTGGATTGTAGGTCCACCGCAGACGGCAACTCATACCCCGCGGATGAAAAGTCACGACTGCCGTCTTCCAGAGGCCCGTCTCTTCTATCTCTTGAAGAACCGAGGTCCCTGTCATGAAATATAACTCCAGTTCCTTCAAAGCAGGGCACCCTGCAATGGTCTCACCCATGTCATTGATTGGTATAAAGCGAGTGTTGACCAGATCCGAGAAGTACTCCTTCTTTATCGTACTGTATGCTACTAGGACCGAGATTAGAACTGGCCATAATGTAGGGCTGGCAAAGACGAATCTGTTCCAAGCTTTGCAAATGAGAGCCAGACCTGCGGTAGCGTGGATCTTCAAGGCAAGTTTGGGAGATGGTTCAAGTCTTGAAGCCTCATCATTGGCGACCATCTCAAAAATCAATAAGAGCAGCTCGGGAGTGCATCGCTGGATTGGACAGTACTCTTCGGGTAGCATGATAAGAGCTAAAAAGACATACCGAGACTTTGATAGTGCAAGTCTTGTCGCAAGGAACGTGGATGGGACGAGGATTGAATGCAAAAGCCCCCAATTCAAACAAATTATAGCGTACATGCTGAATGTTCAGGATTGAGATGAAAATTTACGTACATCACCAGTATCGGACAAGAATTATCTGTTACGTCGCGGCGAGCGGGATCTGTCCCGTCTTCTGTCGCTGAGACAACGTCAATACAGATGAAATAAAGAATTAAAATCACTTACTCGTAACGACTCGATTCGTGTCTGGGCCGGTCTCTATCGCGGTCACGGTCGCTTCTATGATCGCTGCTGCGATGATAGTCTCTGTCGCTCGGTGGTAGTCGTCCGTGGGCGATGATCCCTGTCTCTATCACCGCTACGTGAGCCAGAAGGTCCTGTTGGTACTCCACCCGCAGGAGCAAACGATGGAGGCGGAGGACCAGAGTGGGATGGACCAGACCCCGCTGTAAGAAGTTGAGACGAGGCTCATGAGGTCAGGGTGAGCTTACATTGACTGAAACTAGGGGGTGGTGGCGCGTTGCGGCGCTTTTCCTTTTCATCTCGGAATTGTTGCAACATTCGTCGTAGCTCGTGGTAGCCCAAGTGCATCTTGATGACGGTTTAGTTCAAACGTATGGAAACAGTAAAGTAAGACTCACCTTGCCACCGAAATGATCTGCAAGGCGCCGATCGCTGTCGAGGACGCTCAAGTATGCCCCACAGACATCGCAGACACGAAGCTTTTGATGACCAGACGCGCCGGACGTCTCTGTAAGATTTTGGAGTTCTCGCTGCGAGTAGTTGAGCATACGCTAGACGTCACAGAGAGCCAACACACCTCTTTATCAGCCTTCTCTGCCTTGAGAGCTTCTACGGCCGCTAGTTCTTTCATACTCTCCTCGACCTTGCCCTGCTCTCCTAGTTGTTCAATCTTCTCCGTGCCACCTTGAATAGCCAGTTCGATTTCTCCAATTTCACGCATCTAGATATGTAAGTCAGCCGCGCTGCCTACTCTTGTGTTCGTGGCTCATTCATACCAGGTTGGTCGTCTTTGCATTCTCTTCTGGCGTTTTCTCGAGTCTCCTGTGAGCCGTCTTTATCCTTCTGTCGCATTCATCCACAAACGCAAAGATGTTGCTTTCGTATTCGCGTTGGAACTGCTCAAAGCGCGGGTCGTTGGGGTTCTTCTCCTTTGCAGCAAGAAATTCGGTCTTGAGTCTGTCCGTGTGCGACTTTGGGCAGGCGCCTAGATCCATTTTCTGGATGTTGAACAAACCAGGAGTTGTGGGTTAGCCGACAGAAGAGGCGCATAGAGCTAACGCACCGTATTCGTAAAGAGCGTATGGGGACACGTCCCGCAGAGAAAGTTCCTGCACACTTTGTCGTCGTACCATTCAAGGTGGGTGTTAGTAATGCCCATCGCCTCTGGCCCCATCATTTGCTATATTCCCACCACGAAGACGCGTTTCGAAGATATCATAATAATATGAGCCAAGTTTTGTGACGCAAAGCAACCGGCAGCGGCGAAAAAAGTAAAGGGGCCGTCAGCAAGATTACTTTGAGAAAGATTTGACGCGTGAGAGTGTAGAAAATGGAATATTACAGACCTCTAGCAGCTTTCGCTGCATTTCAGCGAGTTTCCCCATGTTCGGATGTTGAGAAAGGTCGTGGTTTATGGCCAAGCTTGCAGCTAATGGATTTGGTACGACAACAATAGCAGCTGTCTCGGTTCCACCCAGACGGCATTACAAGCACAGACACTAACACAAGAGATCTGAAGGCAAAGTCACTCAGCACAATAGTCAGAAGACGCGGATACTGCAGTCGCTGCCGATTAGCTAGTGGCACCCAGAAGACATTTACCAGAATATCGCACTCAAATCACGCATAAGGAACCAGTTTTTGAACCTGGGTCATTTAAGGGAGAGGTAAAAACGGGCGTTCTATATATTCGAATAGTCAAAGATTTCTCTTAGGCTTTAGAGATTAGCTTTCTGATCTCCTCCACCAAACTGACCCCTCCTAGTCCCAACTCAGCACTATCGTCGTTCACATCCCATCTCGCATTTCCTTCCTCCCTGAATATGCTGGTTCTAATGGCACCAAGAACATTGTCTTGAGTAAATTCACCACGCTGGAGTCCCTCCACCGCGCGAGCGGCCAATGCTTCTGCGTCAACAGTACTGGTTTCAAACTTGGACCCAGTCTCCTGTTCCACCAAATCAAGGAGCTCTCGTTGGGTGACGAAAAAGTCGTGAATATGGACAATTTGGTTCACGAACTTGTCGGGATGAGCAAGAAGGGAGATGATGGCCTGGCAGACCGAAGCGACAGTTGTCGTGTGGAATTTCCTATCTCCATTGTCGTAGAACAGTACAGTCTTGGCCTTGAGATTGAAGCCAAGAATGAGTTCGAAAGCTGGAGTGGTGATTATTAGCCACACTTTGAATACGAGAGCTCGAACATGAACACACCAAGTTCAAACCAAGGGCCATTCCTGATTGCCGTATAGGTAATCTGGTTCTTCTTAGCGGCATCGTCGATCATCTGGTTCACCATGCGTTTCGGCATCCACAGCCCATCAGTCATAGGGAGCTCGTCACTGTGACGATAATCAAAACCACGAACGGGGTATGCTCGAGTTCCGCTTACCATCCAAACTCGCTTGGAATGATACGCTTCACGCCAGCTTCAATAGCAGCCTCGAGGATTGCCTTTGTAGTAGGATAAAGCTCTTGGTTGGCCGTGAAGACTAGGACGACGGCATCTTGGCCCTTGAGCAGCCACAAGCTCTTCGTGTACATCAAAGCTGGCTCTTGCAAGCTTGAAGCGATTGGTATCGATGTTTTCAGGTGCAGCGTACTCGGAGGATTTGCGAACAAGCGCAGTGACAGTAAAGTCGGCAAGCTTCGAGGACAGGAGAGCCTGGATCAAGGAGCGCCCAGCTTTCCCTTTGCCTGTCGTGGCTTAGTTGAACTACAAGACAAACGAAAGAGACGTACCCCGACGACGACAATGTTCTTGTAAGCCATTTCTGTGATTCGAGTGGAGATGGACAGAACTTGTCGTCTCTTCGTACCATTTTATACCTGAAGGAATGTCGTAGAGCCGCTTTTGCTCGCGAGTGCCGCACTGAAGGTAAGGCAGGCGGTCTGAATCGCCGTTTCGGAGGTATTGCATCTACCTTTGGAATCAGAACTGGTAGTGCGCGCAAAAGATCGGCATGGCACCTTGACGGAGGACCTCGGCTATGGCGAGCCTGTCCGAGATGCTTACCAAGATTGTTCGTGGAAGAACTGTATATGGAACACGACGGGTATGGTGGATTCTCCGACACGGAGGTTTGTCTTCGACCAGCTTGAACACACTTGAGGTCCTAGGGAGTTGATGAATTGTGAGCTATTTATCAGCATAATCAAGGCAAGGATGCTCGATCAAGCACTTGATACTCGTACTGGCAGCCCAAATGTTTTGTGAGCTATTTATCAGCATACTCAAGGCAAGGATGCCCGATCAAGCACTTGATACTCGTACTGGCAGCTCAAATGTTTTTTGATGTTTTACCTCAACTACTGGATGATTAGATGGCCGTGTACAATGTAGCATGACCCACCTTTCGAGACGCGAGTTGCCTCCTTCAATCTCCCCAGTTCGACATGAGCCTACGCGTCAGCACATTCAGCGCCTTAGGTTCCGCCCTTGTTCCATCGCGCGTCGAATGGGGAGCGGTACCAGTCCTAGACTTGGGTAGCCCGTACGATCTTGAACGACTCACAGCAATCAACGGCAGAATAATCCATGTGTATTTGAGGGTGATTACGCAATGGTATACTTTCCATAGTTCTTTTCTGGATCGAATACTTCCCATCTAGAGGCAGGAAAATGTGTTTGGAACGCTGATACCAACTTCTTTCGACTACCTTTCCAGCATGAGACTAGCCAAAAATCAGCACCAGCAGAGCATTTAGAGGAGTGTATACCTCATCTTTCTCCAACGTGGCATCGGCGAGAAGTCGAACATCGTCGTGTACATCAAAGTTGAACAAAGGGCCACTCTTTCCGCGCGCCTTGTTGACGATAAAGTCGTAAAAGGTGTAGTGGTGCGGAATGATCAGATCCTCTTTGATATACATGAGATTATCGACGTTGACGCCGCGGAGTTCCGGGAACTGTTGGCGAGCCTTTTCCAGAAACGTCGAGATCTTGTCACCCTTCTTAACCTGTACAGAATGAGTATGGGAAATAATAGAGAAAAAATGATATACCTTGACGCTTTTGCGATGACCACTGCCATCCCAATAGCTGTAGACCACTTCAACCTCCTCGGCCTTGATTTCCTCCTGTTTCCTAAGCCATTCTTGTCGAAGTGCCTCTCGCATTTCTCGCTCCTTTTGCTCTCTTTCGCGATCAGGGAGGAAGGATGTGTCGACGGTCGGATTCTTTGCAACCTTTTTGGCTTTCTTGGAAGGAGGCTCTACATCCAACGAACAAAGATATGAGCAACGAATATGACATGCAGGTGATGGCATACCTTCAGCATCTTGTTCGCCCTCATCGTCTTCATTCTCTTCATCATCTCCGGCAAACGAGAGCTTAGATTTGACGACTTTCTTACGCTTCTTGACGCGTTTTTCCTCTCTGTAGGATCAACTACGCGCATTAGCTCTTTCTCAAGGACAAACAGACGACGCGTGTCTGAATGGAGAGGGACTCACTTCAGCTCATTTGTGCGAGCCGCTTCGCGCGCCTTTGCCTCTTCCAAGTCCTTTCTCTTCTGTGTGAACTCGTCTAGCTGAACGAGACCGACGGTAGATTTGACGAGTGAGTCTGCCATTGTGTCGTTTTGTCCTACAAACCGAGACGCCGTAGGTCGCGCCTTTTCGGTTTCCTGAGCAATAGATCAGATAATTAGCACCTTGCCATATATAATGATGAAGAGACACCGTACATTGACAAGAGCCTGCTTCTGACGCTCAAACTCTTCCTGTTTTAGCGATTGTCAATGGGTGTGCTGGATGCAGATAGTCAAAATACGAACGAGCATCTCTCTGCGCTGCTTCTCGAGTGCTTGACGGCGCATCTCGCCCTGGTCTACGTTTCTGCCAGACATTTGTTTGTCGAAGTCGTGGTTCAAGTTTTGGAGACGACCTCGACCACTGTCATCTCCCAAGCACAACCAAATCTACCAGTCCTTGACTCTACAATATATAACGGCCTTTATCCAATATGGTCTACATAATGGGAGTCGCGTTGTCGGACGCTTATCCGGCAAAGGTGCGTCCAACCGTTCTATGCCGCATTTTCACGTTTCTGACTCGTAATACCCTGTAGATTGCACTTACAGGCATCTACGGAATTGGTCGAACACTCGCCCGTCGAATCTGCGCTCGCCTTCAAATACACGAAAACGCACCATTGACGAGCTTGACTCCGCAACAAACGACGGCATTGACGGCCTTTTTGTCTGCTCCAGCCAATGCTCCATTGCTACCAAAACTCCGCTGGCCAGCCCACACTTTCGACCCAATTTTCATACAAATCTGGTAGCACCTCCGACCGGTAAAGCAACGAATACCAACGCAATTAAAGCCATACCCCGAAATCCGAAACCTCTTTGGCTGCTCGTGCACAGAATGAGCAACAAAGTGTCGGGCTTGAGACCGCCTGAGAAACATCAAGGTTGAGACGGACCTACGAAGAGCCGTAAGGGAAAATATCATGCATCATCGACTGGTACGTATTCTTTGCCGTCTAATATTGGACAGTAGTTGATTTTGTCGCAGGTCAACACCTATATCGGACGAAGACATGCCATGGGCCTGCCAGTCAGAGGTCAACGGACAAACTCGAATGCAAAGACGGCTCGACGTCTCAACAAACTGGAGCGACGAGGTTGAGCTTTCGTACTTATGTGGATGTAATAGACATTTGGTATCTATCCCAGCTTCTAGCTACCTGTCCATTCGTTTAGTCATCCCCAACTGGTACCTCTTCCTCTAGGTATCGAACCAACTTGACCCTAATGTCCGTCGACTCGTCCCCTCGCAAGACGTCGCTCAGAAATACGACCTCGCACTGCATCTGAACCATTTCCAGCGCACCTCGTAAGACCCCGCATAGGATATTACTGTACCATAACCCACCCGTCGGTGTCGAATCAGCGCCGACAGTTGGGAGAGCAGATTCAGGCAATTCGACAAACTCTGCCAATGGATTCTCGTCCAATGTGAGCACAAAAAATGCACCAGGAGCTGAATGCGTTTGAGCCTGTATGGCGGCATTTTGAGAAGGCAGTAACGACGATCGTGGCGTCGCTCCTGCGGGTTGAGCCGTTCCTGTGCCGCTCCCTGGAGCTGGATGGTGCACAACTGAGGGTGTGATGTTGAGGAATGATTTGAATCCGACCTGAGTTCTCGTTGGTGGGTCATAGTGCTCAGCGACTGAACGAGTACGCACCTTTGCTACCACCTCGCCGACCTCTCGGAAATCCGCACATCGTCCAAGACTACTTCGAGCGAGAAAGTCCTCTATCAGTCGCGTCCCGATGTTGTATCCCCTGCAGAAGCGTCAACCCCCTGGGAGACGCAATGAATGTAATACACATACATTTTCTCGAGCTGCTTGTTCACTTCGGCATAATCTTCGTAATCTTGAATGAGCTGTACTACGAGAGAACCATATGCCATTGTAAATAGCTCTGCGTTCTAAAGATCTCGTAAATATCGCCCCAGGCAGAGGATGTTTCCTCACTATCTTGTCCGTTCTAGACTTCCACAAGTCTTCTCCTATATTCTTAAACTGCTTTGTGCTCGCCATACTTGGTGGCCGGTAGAGGATCTCTCCAAATTTGACCTCGGCCATAACTTTGCGATACGACATGGGCTTTGCAAACGGCTCACTTGGCCTTCCGAACGAGGTTTTAGAGCATATTCTCACACTCTGCGCCGGTCACTGGCCTCCAAATCTCCCGTTATGGAAGGAGGAGAGATTAGTCTTGTTCAATCTGCTTGACGATTTCAGCCGAATTTGGAGCCAGATGCACTACCAGTCTTCAACTATCGGCCTGGTGTGTAAACTCTGGTTAGGGCTTATAACAGGTCATAGATTTGCGGTGTTACGCATTTTTTCTCCCCTTATCACGCATCTTCATATCATAATGGAACAATTCAAGGTATATTCTCATCATACGCACCAGGTCACACTATCTCGGCCATACTATCTCGACTGGGAAAATTCCGAGCTTACTGACTGGTTCATCGGAGGGCTGGAAAGAAGCACGTCAAATTGGCAATCCGTCACTCACTTAGTCATAGGTCACTCCGTCTCTTGTTCTCGTGCTATCAATGCGGCTTCCAAACTTACCCAGCTCAAAGTTCTTGGGCTATACGGTGTTCTCGACGTCTTTCCACAGGACACTATATGGACACTCCCAAGTATCGAAAGGCTGGATATATACGTGTATGCAAACTACAAATCCGTGCCCAATTCGCCTACTATCTTCGACCTATTCAAATCCAGAGTCATCGCCCCGTCCCTCATCAGCCTCTACATCGAATGTCGCATCAGTTCAGGCTTTCACATTGTCGACGATATGCTTTCCGCTTTCGCCGAAAATGTGACGCTGGCATCGGTTCAGGCAGGAAATGACCTCTGGACAGAGATTACCCCAAGCGAAAACCTATTGCCGCGTCTGAAGCACTTGGAGTACCCCTTCACCTCCTCGATGCTCTTGCTCCAGGAAACTCTGCGTGTCTCTCGCGTTAAAGTACTGGTCATCCTCAACTTCAATGATCTATGGAGCTGGGTCGATGAAGAGTCCAGAACCCTTCTCCGGTATACCATCGACGACTTGAGGGAGCATTGCAAGTCACTAGTGGGCTGTATAATTCATCTAGAACCGGTACGGCGCCCAACTACAATCATATTGGACGATCTTCTAGTGCATCCCGATCACCCAGGATTCGAGGTATCCTAGTGGGGTACTGCTAGCGGATACCTCCTCGAGATGGTGGATCAACTTCGTACTCTTGGGGTGCGTTTGATGGCGCGAGAATCGTTGCTTTCCGATACCTATGGAGCAGAGCCATTTCTTCATGCATTCTTGAATACTCAGATGCGACGGGGGATCAAGGTGTGATAGAATTGAACTCGTAAGTCGTATGATGACAGCTACTGTCGCCAATTACTGAGACATATATATAGTGTGAAAATACACTAGACTCCCGTAGGTTTTATATAATACAAAACAACAAGTCATTTTGAATACTCGGCCCATTGCTTTGTTCCTGGAGCTGGAGGTTGGGTAGCAGGCACGCAGATGCTCATACATCTCTGATACGCCGCGCTTTGGAAGGTGAGAACAACTCAGAGATGTATATGCGTGCGTAGCAAAAAAATGAAGGGTGTGTGCATGACGAGTTGTGAATACATACATACAAGTCGAAGCTGGAAACACGTAAGCATAGTCAAGGTTAAGCACAAAAATATCTACAACGTCTAATTCGATTCATTGTCGGTACAGTCGGGAACGTAGCAGAAGCTTTGTTGCGAGAGATGGAGAAGCGATGGGTGAGTGACAATGAATTAGTCAGAACGTGATTTCTTCGGTGGCATCTGGCCAATGTCGCAGATGCTCTAATCTGTGAAGCTCTCCGGTGATGGCTCTTGCGAGGCTCAGCCACACCTACTTCAAGGTCCCGCTCCTCGGCCACTAAGTTCGCGACCGGCTTGCCGTCTACCCCTCTTCCCGTGATAGAAGCCTTTTCAGCTCTCTTCCCTTCAATTGAGTATCTTTGCGTTTCTGTGATGTCCTCGCTATCCTCTTCGACCAACTCTGCGTTGCACGAGGTGCATGAACAGCGGGAGGATGAGGAGCTGGTCTCAACGTCCGACGGGATATCCTTTTCGACTTTTTTCTCCTCTTCGCTTGGCCGTAGGAGTGACTTTGGCGATGAGGTTGCCTGTTGTTCGGTTCCCGGGAATGAGCTGATGCTGGAACCAAAGCTGGATGCACGCAATCTCTTGGATTTTTTATTTTGAGCTCCGGCCTCTGCTTTAGCCGCTTGACCAGATCGTAGGTATGCAGCCAGACGAGCCTGCTTCCTGGCCTCGCTCGGATTCGGGAAGTCGATATTGGATGTATCCAATTCGGTGTCGTTTATGATATCAGAGGCGCTCCCGCCATAGGTTTGGGTGGCATGTTGGCGATACCTCTGCTTGTGATTTGGGCGTGACGACGTCGCAGTGCCGTTTGAGGTTTCCTTTTCTCCGGTAAGGAGTCGCGGCTGAGTTGGATCTGAGACAATGTTCACCTTTGTCATGGGGACCGCAGTTGGGTCGATTGATGTGCCTGGGCGGCTGAGGAGCACGTCTAGCCAGGTTCGACGAAGATTGACGTGCTGAAGATGAACCTTTCGGAATAGAGCGCCAAATGGTCTACGAATGGCATCGAAGACGGCATTGTACTGCATCATCGCTTCTTCGCCAAAGCCAAAGAGGAGAAAGTAGAGAATGCCACACAGTGGTAGCGTCCAGTAGCTGATGGAAGAGCTACCTTCTCCCCTGGTGATATGCTGAGCATGAAGCGCGTAATGTACGCGATACGCATCCAATTAGAATGGGTATCCTCCCAGCTTATCCATGGGTGAATAGGATATCCCACGATGTCATTGACATACATCCATAGCGTAAAGGGAAGATGGATGCTAACAGTTACGGCAGCCAGGGAGAGCAGTTGAAAATAGCGGCTCCTGTTGATCTTGACGCTGCTGGAAATGACCGCGTTGAACTCTTTTCGATGCTTGAGAATGCATATCACTGTCATAAAGAGAAAATTGTGGCGATGATGCAGACGATTTGATCAAACACAAAGTATGTGGCCAGTGCGACAGGTGTATTATAATTGGTTTGGTGTGGGCCCAAATCTTCATATAAGTCGTACCGATGTCCTTGGTTGACGTAGTGGACGACTTTGAAAATGAGGGTGCGCCATAACAGATGAAATACGTGACGTTCTGCCTCTTCTTCTGTAAAAGTCGGTTGTTATTACTCAGATATTCGGTTCAGAGATACGCCTCTTTATGCGTGAAAAACACTCGCCTCGTTCGTGCAATGCTCCATACGGTACTGAATGCAGAA